TCTTCGGATTCTTGGGGCACTTTGGGTTCTTGGGGCACTTAGGGTTCGTAGGGTTCTTAGGGTTCTTCGGGCTCTCAGGGTTCGTAGGGTTCTTAAGGGCTCTTAGCGTTCGTAGTGTGCTTAGGGTTCTTAGGGCTCTCAGGGTTCGTAGGGCTCGTAGTGTTCTTAGGGTTCTTAGGGCTTGTAGGGTTCGTAGGGTTCTTCAGGTTTTAAGGCTTGGGGTTTTAGAGCCTCGTCCTCGTCCTGCCCCTGGGCTTCGCAGCCACGCGTGGAGCCTTCACCTCTGCGGCCAGGTTCCAGGAGCGCAGGCTTTAGAGGTTTTAGGAGTTTTTGGGTTTAGGGTTTAGGGTTTAGGGTTTAGGGTTTAGGGGTTTTAGGGTTTTTAGGGGCTTTGGGGGTGTTAGCGGTCTTAGGGGCTCAAGGGTTTTACGGCTTTGAGGCTTTCGGGTTGCTGGTTTAGGGCTTAGGGTTTAGGGGTTTTGGGGTTGAGGGATTTAGGCTTCGGGGAGTTTAGGGCTTGAAGCTTTGAAGTGTTTGGGCTTCGGTGTTGTAGGCTCTTAGGGCGCAAGGTTTGGGTCTCCAAGCCCTATAAAGGTCTTAACCCCCAGGTCCCGCATCAGCTCCCAAAAACCTAGCCGCTGCCTTTAAACTCTCTTTACAAAACCCCTAAGCCCGAAACCCCAAACCCTTAAGGGTACTGAAAATCCCCAAGCCTTATGTCCATGGACCTCAGGAACCGAAAACCCCAGAACCCTAACCCTCAACCCCTGCACCCTCAACCAACCCGAAAACCCTAAAACCCTAAAACCCTAAAACCCAAAAACCCTAAAACCCTAAGACCCTAAAACCTTAAAACCCTAAAACCCCAAAACCCTGAAACCCTAACACCCTAACACCCAAACACCCTAAAACCCTAAAACCCTAAAACCCTAAACTCAAAAACCCAAAAACCCTAAAACCCAAAAACCAAAAAACCCAAAAACCCTTAACCCCTTAAACCCTTAAACCCTTAAACTTAAACCCTTAAACCCTTAAACCCTTAAACCCTTAAACCCTTAAACCCTTAAACCCTTAAACCCTTAAACCCTTAAACCCTTAAACCCTTAAACCCCCTTAAACCCTTAAACCCTTAAACCCTTAAACCCTTAAACCCTTAAACCCTTAAACCCCCTTAAACCCTTAAACCCTTAAACCCTTAAACCCTTAAACCCTTAAACCCTTAAACCCTTAAACCCTTAAACCCTTAAACCCTTGAACCCTTAAACCCTTAAACCCTTAAACCCTTAAACCCTTAAACCCTTAAACCTTAAACCCTTAAACCCTTAAACCCTTAAACCCTTAAACCCTTAAACCCTTAAACCCTTAAACCTTAAACCCTTAAACCCTTAAACCCTTAAACCCTTAAACCCTTAAACCCTTAAACCCTTAAACCCTTAAACCCTTAAACCCTTAAACCCTAAACCCAAACCCTCAACCCTGAACCCTAAACCCTAAACCCTAAAACCCTAACCCTAGACCCTAAACCCTAAACCCCAAACCCTAAACCCTGAACCCAATAGGCCCCGACCACCGGCCGTTGTGATGGCCACGAGCAAGAGGGCCTCGACGGGGCTTTCGGTGGCTTACCAGGGTTTACCAGGTTTTACCAGGTTTTACCAGGTTTTACCAGGTTTTACCAGGTTTTACCAGGTTTTACCAGGTTTTACCAGGGTTTAGGGTTTAGGGTTTAGAGTTGAGGTGTTTGGAGGTCCTTGTGGTGTGGGCCTTAAGCCCCAAGCACCTAAAATCCTGAACACTAACATCAAGAAACCTGAAACCAAAAAAACAGCCCTAAACCCTAAACCTGAGTTACACGCTAAAGCCCTAAGCCCTAAGTTATCCCCAAAGCCCTGAACATTCCTGACCTGCGCCATGGACCCCCCAACACCTTTTCCGTTTCACCAGAAAGGTCCTTGTTGTGCAGGAGGGAGGCTTGCCATCTGTCTATTCAAAGGAGAATTTAAGCCACAAATCTTCGGGATAAGGACTTACGATTTGGGTTTGAATACTTCCCCAACTAGTTGCAACTGCACCCCTCTTCGATACCCGGAGCTTTCCCTCGTGCAGCCCCCCTTCTTTTGGACTTTGTGGCGGAAGGAGATGTCGAAACCCTAAACCCTAAACCCTAAACCCTAAACCCCTAAACCCTAAACCCTTAACCCTTAAACCCTAAACCCTAACTGAGGTATCCTTTTCGGGGAGGGATGTCGCACAAGCTTTCACCGAAAGAGTTCAGGCAAGCAGCCGCCGTCAGCCACAGCGGCCATCTTCGTGAGAATCGGTTCAGCCTGACTGCCAGGGCCTATGCATAATTTTTGTAGGGTTTGGAGTTTGGGGTTTCGGGTTTGGGGTTTAGGGTTTAGGGTGTGAGGTTTAGGGTGATTGGGTTTCAGAGCTCAAAGAGTTGTGTTTGGGGTGTAGGACTTAGGGAGCTCATACAAGTGCACCCAATTGGTTTCATGCATCATGGGGACTCCTATATGGGTAGTTCTCTACATGAGGGTCCCTTTGTGGGTCCTTATATCATACGGGACCCTTCTAAAAAAGGACCCCCAAAGGGACCCGAATCTAGAGAACTACCCATATACTGCTTAAGGTATTCTCCCGAGTGCCTGGAGTTTCTTCACTCAAGACCCTAAACCCCAAAACAACCTAAACCCTAAACTCTAAACCCTGGACCCCAAACCCTAACACCCCCTCCCCCCCCCGCCCCACCTTTTCCCTACTTTTCCCCTGGCCCCAAACACTTGGCAGCAGGAAGGGGGCTCCATCCACGTCTGCGCCGACCCCACCGTACTCTAGGGTTTTTGCCCGAGTAGTGGGGAGCACAAGAGCTACACCCTAAACCCTGAACCCTAAAACCTAAACCCTAAACCCTAAACCCCAACCCCAAACCCCAAACCCTAAACCCTAAACCCTACCCCAAACCCTAAACCCTAGATGCCCCTTGAACCCAAAGACCCCAACATTCCAATGGCAGCCAAAAGGTCTCCCCAAAAGCCCTTGGAAAAAAAATCCCGAACTCCATACTGGTTGACGGCTTGGTTTAGGGTTTAGGGTTTAGGGTTTAGGGTTTAGGGTTCAGGGTTTAGGGTTCAGGGTTTGGAGTTTAAGGCTTAGGGTTTAAGGTTGAATTTCTGTAGCATTTCGGGTTGAGGGTGGAAAAGTACGTTTAGGGCTTAGTTGCCGACACCAGCAGCCTTCCAGAGCCGACGGATCAAGTTGAAGCCCCCCCCAAAAAAAAACACACACACACACACAACGAAACCAAAATAAATAAAGGAAAACAGCAACAAACCGAACTATCTCCTACCTAAAAGTTATAAGCTCATAAATGCTAAGCCTCAGACCTAAGAGCTGAGTTTCGGGCTTTAGGGTTGAAGGGTGTTAGGGCTCTTTTCAGGGTTTAAGGCTTGCGCGAATCGCATGAACTCCTGAGCACGGCACATCGGGTCCTGCTGGGCCTCGAATCGGGGAAGCAGACGCTTAGGTTTGGGGTCAGTTTGGGGTTCAGGGTTTAGGGTTTAGGGTTTCGGGTTTAGGGTTTAGGGTTCAGGGTTTAGGGTTTAGGGTTTAGGGGTTAGGGTTTAGGGTCTAGGGTTTAGGTTTTAGGGTTCAGGGTCTACAGGGTTGGGTTGAGAGTTTGGGTGCTTGGATTCTGGGGGTTCAGGGATTTGTGTAGGGGTCGACGGTGACCGGTTTGAGTCCTATGCCCAGAAAGACCAACGAATACCCAAAACACCCGTCGTTTAAACCCCCAAATTATGAATACAGATGTGCTGTGGAATGAGATGCCCCAGACCCTAAACCCCAAACCCTGAACACCTCGCTAAACCCTGAAACCCTGAAATCCGCAGCCTAGGACCTGAGCTACAGCGGTCAATCTTAAGTTCAAAGTGTAAGGTTTAGGGTTTAGGGTTTAGGGCTCAGGGTTCAGGGTTCAGGGTTTAGGGTTTTGGGCCGTTTTAGGGTATTTTTGGGGGGTTCAGCGTTTGGGGGTTTAAGGGGTCGAGACCCTCACGAACAGCCTCACCCTCGTGCGGATGATTCAGCAGGAGCAGGTCTGCTGCTGGGTCTGCACCCGAACCCTAAACCCTAAACCCTGAACCCTAATAACTTCAGCCACACACGCGGCCATGAATGTCTCAGGAGATAAGCCAAGCAGCATCGGAGTCGCTCGGCCAACTGCTTTCAAGAAGCGAGCAACCCTATGTCAACCTATCTTGAAGCTGGTGGTAGGGATGATAACAGGGGGTACTAGAATTCCTATTGAGTAGTACTAGGGGGAACATCTCGACCCTAAATGCTCGTACAAGTAAGTAAGACTACGCACAGCACCGTGGCACATGTTCGGCCATCCCCGTACGTGGTCGTCACACTTACGTATTGGAAGGCCTTGACAAGACGGAACCCTACTTGCATGGCCTAAGACTTCTGCGACTCTGTCTGCTCATGTCGCTGCGAAAAATATAGAACCGGCTGCGCAGCCGCTCCGAGCCCAGCTAGGCGGAGGCAGCCGCAATTTGGAGAGGATCGTGGGAGGGTTCAGGGCCGGTGAGGGTTGCCAAAGGGCTCACAGATCGTCAAAAGGGGCTCCAAGGTGGGCCAAGCGGGCCCTGAATGAGGCTTGCAGCGGGGCGTGCCCAAAAGCAGGTGGCAAAAACCCAAACCCCTCTGTGCGCCCCCAGCCTCTGACTCATGCAAACTGCTCCACTCCACCTTGTTCTACTCTATTGCAGCATACCTTGTAGGAAATACAGTTCAGCTCAATAGGCATCCTGCGAGCTTCTTTGCTTTTGTTGGCCAGATGCCTTCAACAGGTCTGGCTTCAACTGGGAGGTGTCCTCATTTCAGGAGTAACCCCCTGGCAATTTGCGATTCAGCAAAAGCATTAACAGGGAAGAACACTAGACCGGGCGCCCAAATTTCCGGGTCCCAGTATATAGTGATCAACTTCTCCTTCATCCGGGGCGTGGCGGCTCTTGGAGCCCGTTCCAGGCGCGCAGGATCTTGCGGGCCACCCTCTCTGGCTCGCCCATGCCGATGTCGGTAATGCGGTCGATATCTCGGCGAAGCACCAGGTGGTTCTGAGCTCGGCCTTCCTCCTAAACTCCCACATTTTTTTTAGAATCCTCTTGGGTTATATATAAACAAGAATAGAAAAACAATTCCCAAGGGGGATATAGCCTCATCCGGAGGCTCCGGCGGAAATGTGTCGCACAGCTGCACGGGGATGATGGGCAGTTTGTTCTGGTGGGCGTAGCGCAGCTCCACAAAGGTCTCGTACTGGGCGCCGGTCACGGCCCCATAGTCGTCCGTGCAGAACGCAATCAGCCCCAGGGCACGGTACAGCCCCAGCTCGGTCAGATTCCCGAAGGAGTCTCCCGGCCCGCGCGTCTGGACCATGCACACGGGAACCTGGGATGGCCCCGTTGTTTTAACCCGCTGAGATTGGGTTCCCCAAACGAGATACTGTAACCAAATAAAGGAAAAAGCGCAATTCTCCCCAACCTACCTGTCGGACCTGGGAACCCCCTCCGAATCCAGCACTCGCTTGACTGAGCGCATGTAGCTCAGCTTCTCCTGCGAATTAAACCGGCCTGAGATGAGGAGGTGTCGCCTCTGAGCTGGCTGTCGCGGCGTGGACAAAGCAGCGGAGGGGCCGGGTGTGTAGCCTGACGTGTGCTCCTCCTGCGGTGCCTTCCGAGAGCGACTCGCAAACACGAACCTCTGAACGGCCATGCCGCTTAGAAGCAAGGATGTCAAGTGCTGACCACACAGGGCAGAGTCTTCCGCTTCCATAACAAATGCCACCCCATGCCTCCAACAGACAGGCAACGGACTCAAAGATGCAAAGAATACCCGGCCTGCACGACGACAGTGTGCCCGACGCTGCGGCCCCCAAACCTCTCCCGGATGCTGTTGAAATTCGCCATGAAGACGCGCGCCTCCACAAGAGCTTGTTTAGAGCGTTGAAGGATGCTGGGAACTATACAATACAGCAAAATCGCATGCATTTAGGCTAGGCCACCTGGGGGAAGAGTGAAGCAACAGAACAAAGCATACAAGGCAAGCGGCGAGAAATAAAGTAGAGAGTCGCTTCAAACACCGCCGCAATACACATAGGGTTTACGATAGTAAGGGCCCAATATAGATCCTCAAATAGTACGATCCCCTCCCTCCCTCCCTCCCTCCCTCCCTCCCTCCCTCCCCCTCTCCCTCTCTCTCTCTCTCTCTGTCTCTCTCCCTCCCTCTCTCGCTCTCTCTCTCTTTCTCTCTCTCTCTCTCTCTCTCTCTCTCTGTCTCCCTCTCTCTGTCTCTGTCTCTCGCTCTCCCCCCTCTCTCTCTCGCTCTGTCTCTCTTCTTCTGCCCAGCGAAGAGAGCCCAGAAGGACCTCCCGCCACCACGCTCTGTCTCTCTCCCTCCCTCCCTCCCTCCCTCCCTCCCTCCCTCTCTCTCGCTCTCTGGGGGTTCCGCAAATAGGGGCACCTCATTAGGGAGAGAGAGGGAGAAAGACAGAGAGTTTCAACCAGGAGGAGACAGAGCAAGGCACGGATCTTCCAAGCGTGACCCCATTTGCCAAGCCGAGCCGCAGCGAAGCTCCTGATCTGCCGCAGAGGCGTCACGTGTTGGTGCTCCGCCTCTCCTGGCTGAACGAGCCCCGCTTCTCACAGAACGCGCAACAAGAGGTGAACTTGTAAAAGCAAAGGGATCCCACACGTCAGAAGCATCCTGATGTGTACCCAACAGCCTGGCTGCTTAAACACAATGCGAGCTCATGCCCATCCATGGAGACCCAGAGCCCAGCTCCGGGGTGTTAGGTCCTTTCTGGCCTTGTGAGGGCTCAAGGATGTTCAGAACAAAGGTTTAGGGCTTCAACAGGGCATCTTCTCGCCGAGGCCGGCGGCCTGGGTAGAAATTTAAGGTCACTGAATCCTTGACCCCAAAAAAACCATATAACCCTAAAGCCTAAACCCTAAAACCCGAAACCCCAAAATCCGATTCTGGGCCAAGCCTCACACAGGCGGCGCCGGGGCCGTGGAGCTGGTGGCGCCGGAGGGCTCCTCCAGCTCCATTGTTGTGGGATGGACATGAGGGCAGTGTTTCGTGGAAACATCCTCTGGGCGAATCGTGCGCCATGGAAGTCGACGATGAGGATGTCTCAATGGGGGGGGGGGGGGGGGGGTGTAGAGGTGACGCTTTACTTCCCAGAGATGATTTGGCTCTAGTGAGATGTAGTGAGATGGAGGGAGATACCCATGCTCAATCGGCCTGTGGGCGTACGTGTCGCGTCATCTTCCCGTTTTTTAGATGAATGAAAGTAACATCTTTCAGAATTAGCGTTTTTGGAGACATAAGTTCCTCGCTCTACCTTGGGAGCATAAGTCTCTATTTGGGATTAATAGAGTTGCTTCATGAAGGTTTTCATAAGGGTTATAGAGTTCACAGCTTATAAACCTTACTGAGAGGGGTTAAAACAGGCTTAGGAAGTGTGAACGGGTCCGCCTGCTCAAACAGAGATTAAACTCAAGCCTAGATACGCTAGCTTTCGCGACAATACTTTAATCCAGATCCTACTATTAGAAGGCTACCTGGAGCTCATCGACTTCAGAGTTGAGCAGATTTGCCGGGGCCACCACTTGATGATGTTGTGCTCGGGCACATCTGCAACACCTGTCAGTTTACTATTCTTGCTACTGCTGCTGCTGCTACTACCACTACTCCTACCACTACGACGACTACGACGACTAGCCTCCAGTCGACAGGCTTCTGGAGACACTGATGATGAAAATGTGGTCTGTATTTCCCTACTGCTTGTGAATTGAAACGCTCGCTTGGCTCATGCCTCCTGACTGACCCCGCCTGCTGACGTGCGAGTCCGAGGGAGATGCACGCTAGCATTTACCATGATACCAGTGGTGCTTTCCATTCACTTGCCAGGGCCGAGGCACAAGTGACCTACGTGTTCTGAGTGTTTTAAAAGACAGCATGGAAATTTGCAGAAATGAATGAAAAATGGAACCTGCATCTCCCCAAGGCACACGCCGATGCAAGGCCATCGCTTGCCCGCTCGATTGAAACGTAGCCAGAAGCCTGGAGCATGCATCTTGGAGGTTTCAATACAAAATCATGAGTCTCAACTTCTCAGCAACACTAAGTCTTCTTGGCAATTTTTTGCTCTACGCAACGCTGACTGATCGTCAGATTGATAAAAACCTGCGCTTTGCTCAAGTATCTCAATCTGAACTGTCTGCTTCTGCAGAAATCCTTCACGAAAATCAAATACTTGTCAAGCAGTTCCTGACACGCCTCGGGAAGTGAACCCCAAAGTTCAGCTTCCTCACTCGTCTCGCATGCGGCTTCGACGTCGTCGAAAAGCTTCCGCTTTAAGTACTTCGATTCGCATGCTAACGAACGCTTGCAGTTGTGGATCATCGACTTCTAGCTCCCGGTCACGCAGGTCCACAATGCGAGGTACGTCATCACGAAGATCCCGAAAGCCAGGAAGGACTGGCAGGTTGTCACTACGTTGCATCGCGAATGGTGATGATGTAGAACTGCTGGGACTAGTGGGAGAAGCAGTGGAACGGTCATCTTGGAAAAGATTCGAACGAATCGGCCAAGCTGCACGGAATGGAGACATGCTGGGACTGTGAGCAACAGTCGTGCTGTCACCGCCAGCTCGACGGATTCTTCTGATCTGATCAGCACATGCCTCGACCTGGATTTGACACTCGCGCAATAAGCGCTTGACATGTGTTTGCACAACCTTCTGCTTCCGCCGTGGGGCCTCTTTATGATGGAAGTAGACAAAGTCTTCGATTGTCATTTGACAGTAGACGTGTCCACATACTTCTAAGAAGTTCACTTCCCCCTGCTGGGATCTTCCAAGACTGCCATCACGTTTGGTCACAACAATGAGATTGCACTTTTCGGTACTGGCCTTCTGCGTCTTTTCCATCCAGAGTGCGTACCATGCGCAGCCCCAAACTTGTCTTCTTCCATAAAGGTGGGAACAGTGGCACACACCGCCTTCAGCTCCGGTTGTGACATGATGGCCATAGCCCTCGGAATGATGGTCCGGCAAAAAAATGCAGGTGGTCAAGATGGAATTCCCAGAATCTTGTGCTTGGTGTGTCAAGTAGTTCCAAGCCTTGCCGTAGGCCCCAGGAAAACTCACGATGACTTGCGCATCTGCTGTGAAGGTATGGTCCAAATTCCCAACGAAGATGATGGGCTCAGAACTGCATTCTTTTAGTAATTCTTCACAACTCTTCGCTTCCGCATCTTCCGACATGGACATGTTCTTGGGGGGGGGGACTGTAGAAAGGCCTGCCTTGAGCAACGACCCTTCAGAGTTCAGAATTGGAATCCACATGTTGAATCTCAGTACTCAGTTACCTTCAAGACATGCCTCCAAGCCATTCAACAATCATACTAATTATTCACCGACCCAAGCTGGCACGGCTGAGACACAGCATCCCTGCACGTTGCGTGATTTGTTATGCTTTGTCCGTGTCATCCACCCTGCACTTCCCGACCGAGACCAAGAACTATTCACACTTGCAGGTGGCTTCCCCCGGTTTTGCCTCACTTCTCCAGCCACACTTTCCGGGGGCCCGGCTTACAGCCCAGAAATCATAGACGCGCAGGTTGCCGTGCAAAGCTGGCGCCGGGGACCTGCGCATTGGTTCATGTGGGGTCTTCAACTGATGGTTATTTCACCAGTTCTGTATGTCCTGACCAAGCTGATGTGAGGCAGACGTGCAGCTTGACTGTTTGAATCATTGAAAGCGGGTGTGTCCAAATGGTGCGTAACCGCTCCATCTTACGCCCTCAGAGGCCATGTGACTAGAACATGATGAAAAAATTGGGATGTCGAGGTATCCTTTATTGCGGAAAGATCCATATCGAGGTCCAAACATACATTCCGAAATGTGATGCCTGCCTGATTGACTCTCAGTAGCTATGATTACATATACTTGTGATCCGAAGGGGTTAACCGGTTAACCACACAAACGCATGGTGGCGGTTTGAGTCGACAACTGTCTCTCTAGAGTCTTGTGCTCAGGAAAGCTCAACCGATGTCTTGAGGCAATCAAATGATGTTAACCCTTCAATTTAGGAGCCCGGGCAGGGCCCGATGTTTGTTCTATAGAGAACTGCCCTTCTTATTGCCCGGCCCTTGAACTAGAGCCTGGAGCCCGACCCGGCCCGACCCCCCCTCGGGGTCGGGGGGAGAAACAAAAATCAATTGAGACGGGCGGGGGGGGGGGGGTATTTATTCGAGGTCAACATTATTGGAGAGAGCTGTTGTGCAGGTGACCTTTGTTTATCAAGTCTTTGGATGCTGACTCCTGCATGCCAGTGCATGCGCGAACACGAAGCGCAGGTGATGGAAATCTAGCTTTGGCAAGAGAAGAATAGAAGCAGCAGTGAATATGGCTAGAGCTGGTTCGTGGCTATTTGTGGCTGAGCAAGACCTTCTCGTTTTTCAGGCTCACACACAACACAGGGAGGCCGCTCACAGAACCGAAGCCTCACACGCCTTCTAGATACGTATGCTCGTCTGATCGTTGCGCAAGAATATTACTGTAATGTTACCAATATTACTTGGGGGTGAGGGCCTGGGACGAAAGCTAGTTAAGGTACCCCCACGGAAAAGCTTCTGTCAACAGGGCATCCACTACGCATCAGGACAAACATACGCAAGGGCATGAGGCCGTTACCTTTTTCCCGCGCGCTCCGTCTGGAAGTACGCAACGCGCGAGCATCATGAGCAACATTGGGAATCGGTTTTAGCATCTTCCTCAGGGCTCTTTTTTGAAGCGTGACACCACAACAGATGTTGCACTCACCAGGCGAAGTCTGAAGTCTGTCCAATCCAGCTTTGAGGGACGCCAGACTCAAATCAACATCAAGGCTTCTGAGTCTTTTCTCGGGGGACTTGGGGGGCTTTGCTAGGGCCTGGGATCCACAGAAAACGGCGTTCATTTGCACCCAATATACGAAAGAAATGAACGCCAGCCCGTTTCCCCAAAACCTGTGTTTGCCCACCGGAAACCGACTGGGTTTGCTGCGTTTCGTGGCGGAGCCTCCGGGGGCCCTGTATACCCATCAGGTTGTAAGCCTCGCTTAAGCAAGATACTCCGCTAGCCGCTTTCGTGATTTTGTTGGGGGTACGAAAGTTTTACGGGATTTCGACAGCCTCAAGTGGAACCCGTGCAGGACAAGTAACAATGAAACTGACAATTTCCTGTAGCGACAGAGTCCCAAATACACAACACATATAACATGGCTACCTGTCTCCCACAGCGGTGCGCAAAAAGCGTTTTATTCTTCTGTCAGAAGGCTCCACAACATCCACTGCTTACGGAATACTGCCAGAGGCGAGGCTCAAGGCCTTCAGCATCCAAGTGCGTGCAAGAGACTAAGATTCTAGGTAGTACGTATCGTGCTGAAGATGTCGCACCCTCCCCTGACCCATTCAATCAGTTTCTGAGTTTCTGCTTTCAAGCACTGGCATTCAGGGCTTCTTGCTTCCCACTTCTTCTCTAGACTCTAGGGTTTGCCATCACTTCCTCGACAGATTAAGCTTCTGGGTTATGGGCGGCCATGGCTTGCCACTCTGTTCGCCGCCGTGTTGGGCTTCATGTTTCAATTCCAGCTGGGGATATGCAGTAGGATTCAGGTAGGTCAGCATTTTTCACCCATGCTTGCACGATACTCTTTTCAAGGCCTGGGGTTTCAGGAATCAACCAACGCAAACTGGTTGTAGCATTGCAGCAGCCATAGATACCACAGCAAATGCACCTTGAACACACATCGAAACAGATTGGAACGCGCCAGGGCTTGCTGCTGCAAAGGACACGTTCAGCCTGCACTCGATCATCAGGAACAGCAAGTCCTCCAAGCAAATCAGGCCCATCCAGCCTCGGCAGTTTCTCTTTGCTGCACACAATGCAACTCAGGTATTGAAACTTGGGCTGTGGTTTCGACATGCTCCGACGGCACCTATCAAACTGATGATCTGACGTAACATAATGCTGATCGAGAAAGGGCCCAACTTCGACCACAGTGGCATAACTCGAAACTGCGAAGGAATGCTCCCCTGGTCGGGGACCCCATCAGCCTCTCTCTAAAAACTTGCAACGTATTTGGGCCTTTGTAAAGGTAACCAATGCAACCTTGCACAACTTCCGCGATGCTCAAATGCGCTTCTACTTCCGCAGCCGCGAGCACTATTGCCGGGCCTTCCACGCTTACTTCGATGCTCCATGGGGGCTGATCGCAGCTTGCTAGTACTTGTCTTGTCGGAACTTTTGTCAGGATTCAGAATGCCGAGACGCATTGTTCGGGATCACTGTGCTGCATGCAAACATGGACCTATCAACGTAGGAAATTGCCACTGTATGGAGTAGCAGTGAGCTTCTGCGTTCCGCTGTTCTAGTTTGCTTGCATTTCTGGCACATGAATTTGCAAGAAACCTTTCACATTGACAGCAGATACATGATGTCTCTCTATGAACCATGCAAGTTGAATGCGGCTTGAAGCGCATCTAAGGACAGGGATATGGTTGGGATGGCAGCACGCAGGACGTGCAAATGGTCGCGAGGTTACCCTCACAGAGGCTATCTCATGACTCCCCCCAGGTCCTAACATAGGGCCATATACGGTAACATCTGGTAACTCTTAAAAAGAACTTGCTAGGCATGCATTTGCGACTTGAGGATGAGAATGGCCTCTAGCCTTCATACCACGCTTCCCGCCAGGTCTGTTTCCACTCGTTTGTCGATTTACACCTCTGGCAGCTGCACTTGCTCCCCTGCACAGCAATTGGCCTACATGCCCAACTCCAAAGTTCAACACACAGAGCATGCTTGATGGCCTAAGTTTGAGGAAGTTGCGCAAAAAATATGGTCTGGCTCGGCGCAAAGCGGTTTTAGTCCTTTGCCAGTCATGATTGGCTCCAGCATCCTCCGCGAAGTATGAAAAATGCCAAGCTGCTCTGCATGTTTGTGTGCAACACGCCGAAGACATTGACAATGTTAACAGTGCGCAGATCGCAAGATAGTAGATCATGATAAACAAGTCCTCCCGTGGGACAGCACCCGCGGCTCCTAGTCATAGTCCCTGCCACTGCCACATTGGCGGCGCCAAAACCGGCGGTGTTTACCTGGCTCATCCTGAAGCCCCCATTCGTACCTGCAGCTGGGGGGCAAGAGAACCTTGATAACTTGGGACTTCACTTAGTGAGACAAGTAGGTCCGTGGACCTGGAAGCCAGTGCACTGGCAAGGTGACTAAATCGAAAAATAGCATGATGAAAGAAGCCACAGGTACACCTTCTGCATCAAATCGCTCAACGAGCCGGTATCGATCGGCTTGGATCTTTGTTTGCACTCGCGGAAGCCAGTCTGAGCGTCACAAATGAAGTATGGAACCCGAAGCTGCTCTGCTTTGCGGTCATACCTTGAAAGCCATTCCGTAACGTTGTCTGCCGTCATGCCTCCAGTAAAGCCCACAACCTGCGTCCGCACATCTTCAGGGACCTCAGGCACTGCATCCGGAGTCTTTCCTTGACCACCGGAGTTGTCGAAAAACGTCACAATATTCTTCGCTGGCTTTTTATCCGCACTTTGGCTGGCAGAGGTCTGCAGGATCTTGCAAATAAAAGGCAAAGAATCCTCATCTTCGCTTCTTTTGAAACATGGCAAAAGAAAAAGAGTGTTCGGATGCTCCCTGGCCAACTTTGCAACCTGCTTGGCACTCTTGTCCCATTCTGAATCTGGTCCGCGCATGTAAAGCTTTGTGGAGACAAAATTCGCACTGATGTTGATTTGTATGTGTCGTGCATTATACTGCTTGCACAAAGTCTCCACGAGCCTCAGAGCAGAGTCTTCGCCCTGCAACAGAGAGCTGACGTACCGGTATTTCTCACTTTCACTAAGATGGAAAGAGAGCCTCGTCCCCGGAGGCATTGCAGCAATCATGCTATCGATTTCATGCCATGCAGGGTAGGTCGCGCCGTTTGGGTAACGTCGCTCTTTGAGTGGATCCTCAGGCCTGTAATTTACTGCCGGATCCCACGGAAAGCCCTGGTATGCCAGCTGAAAAGCAGCCACCGGCACAATCTTGCTTCTGGGCGGAGGAGTGAATAGTTGTGGCAGCAGGTTCTCGGGCAGAGTGATGTCCAAGCCACAGATGCCAAACTCAGGTCTTGGCGGACACGCCTTTAAAAGAAATTGGTTGATTTCTCCGTGCTTCCGGCGCTCCTCTTCAGAAAGGGCAGAGACACGCTTACGATTCGACCAGTCCAAGGCCGTGTAACCTTCGTTGTCCTGTTGCTCTATGTCTGCCCTCTTGACAACTAGCGCACGCAGTACACCAACTTCTGCAAGACAATCGACTGCAATCATCAATGGCGACATTCCTCGTCCATCACTCTTCCGCAAAGACGCAGACAACTCCTCACCTGAGGGCAACGGGGTGTCCCCTGCCAAGTACCGTCGCAGCAGGGACCATTCCCTGCGCACAGCACATGTGTGTACAGGACGGAGCGCCCACACAAAATCGACCATGCTCATGCACAAAAACTTGATCTGCAGGAACCTTAGCTGCCACAGAGATCTGCCTGCCCTCAGGTTCCTGCATGCTCATTATAAGGACAGCCTAGGCCAAGCAGATGAATAATGTTGGACCCTCTTTTGCAAGGGTGCTTTTACTGTTTATGGGCGCGCTATGAAGAAAAGTTTCACGCTCGTCGTAACGTTTTTCGTGTGGCACAGCATTGAAATCAATTGCCGCGCCCCTTCCCCAGGGGGCTGGCCAGGGAGTGGGTCCTTTTAAAGCCTTGGCGCGGGGGTGGGGGGGGGGGGGGTGGGAGGGAACCGTTTACAAAGTCAAAAAGGATCCATCTGCCCTTGAGGCCGTTCATGGGGCCACTGAGGCTGCGCATGCATGAGAAGCGATAAACCAGAAGACCGAAGACCAAAGGCCCTGGTGCCCGAAGCCCGTTTCCTATCCGTTCACCAACCACCACTCCCCCACTTCAATTTTTGAGGTTGCGCAAAAAAAAGCATTCAACAAAACACTAAGGCCGCAACTCCAGTGCCAACACCTCCGCCGACTGCGCACGCCCGATCTTGCCGTCCTTCCAGGTCAGTACGATGGGCACACATCCCTGGAGCATGGCATCAACAACACTCCGCAGCCAGGTATAGAACCATGCATCTCCCCAGTCAGAAAGCCAAACGACTGCAAAATGCATGCCATCTTCCAAGCAAATGCGGATGACCGTGTTGTAGAGCTCTGGGCTGGCACCAGGTATGGAGACGATCGCGATGCCTCTGCCTGCCAAGCCGTCCAGATGACTTCCACGAAATACATCCTTTGCTTTGGCTCTGGATCCAAATCCAGCAGAGGCTACGGACACGTGCTCTTGGCCACCCGTGCCTTCATCCGTACTGACAACCAGACCCCGACTCCACCTTTGCAGTAAGTCTTCGGCGTATCGAGCATCACGTGCCTCTATAGTCCTGGCCTTGGCTACATTGCAATCTCCTGACCTTAAGAGCATCTGCAAATACTCCAGAGGGGTGTTTCCACAATATGGCGGGCCTTCGTTAGCAGGCGAAGTCAGGACTTTCAAGGTGCTTGGCAGTGGTGGCTTAAGGTGGTCTCGCAGACTATCTGCGCAAACGGGCGGGAAAACATACCTGTCGTCCTCCAATCCCCGCCCTCTCTTCGAGTATCATCTGGGCGCAGCTCAGGAGCCAGCACTCCCTCGAAATGCCTCGCAGCAACCGAGCCTGCTATAAACATAGCATCAAAACTTCGCGATCCGTCAGCAAGCCCCACTGAAAACGTTGACTTCTTCACAGCGTTAACGATGTACTGCGTATCAGGCTGCAAGACTATTTTGCTGGAATCCCCCAAGACCAAAGTGCCATCGTGCTGGGGATACACCTCCGCCCCATGCCCAGGGTTGAATGTGCTCTTCGCCACATTCTCAGCAAATTCCAAACACAGTTTTACAGAAAACTTATCTTTAGGTTTCGTCCTGACGCCAGACTGGGTCTCGATGAAAACTTGCCTGCCCTCTGGTATCACCCACTCCATGTCACGAAGCTTTTGGAGCACATTGTCTGGGCGAAAGCCGCCAGCATAGCCCGTACACCTCAGCTCTTTTTCCACCAGAGGGCTGGCATAGGTGGCAGCCTCTTCACCACCTCCACGTGAGGAATTGTACAGCAAAGTCACTTTTGTTGACGAACTGTTCTTCAGCAGCTCTTCGAACAGCATCCTTGCTCGAACATTGATGTCCTCGGCCACAGACAGGATGAACGTGAGTTTTTTGAACCGGTCCATCAGTTTCAGCAGCTTGTCCACTTTGTTTTTTACCTCGCTTTCTGTATAACCTCCAACTGCGCTGTTCAGATGCACCAACACTTTCTGGAAGCCACATTCCACAAGCCAGCCGAGAAAGTCGGCGGCAGCTTCCTCACGGTGGAGCAGGTACGTGTCAAAGGGTGGGCGTACAAGATGCGCACAGAATCGGAACCTGGAAGATGCTCCATCTTGCTTCAGGGCTTTCGCGACCTTGTCCAGCCGCGGGTACTTACGCGAGATGTCTTCGATTGGGCCTCCATAGTCGTAGGAATCCAGCAGGCTGTCTCCCGTGTCTCCTGGCTTGGGAGGATCTGGCTTACGAGTTGGCACTTTGTGATGCCCGAACAAGATTCCGAACTCTATCCAGTGCCGGCCCATGGCAATGCTTTCAAATTTGTTCAGCTGCTCCTCGCCAGGCCCAACGAAGCAGATGTGTCTCAACATCGTCGAATCGTTTGGCTTCCATGACGTCGACAAGCCCGTTAACTCTTCGGCAGTCTTGCTCAGCTTGATCAACATGCGTGGTTTCAAGCACTGCTTGTCTGAACCGTGCTTTTGCTCAGGCATCTCTTTCCGCAGCGTGTCTTGGTCGTGCTGCAAATTTGACTGGATGCTCTTAAGATTCTCCTTGAGGCCAGCCGACTCTGAGCACCATTCTTCGAACTTGCCAGTGTTTAGGGCCTGCTTCAATTCGGCAGCAGTTTCGCACGGATGCCAGCTATGCAGATCTTCCCAGAAATCCTCTAGACGGACATCTGCCTTGCTGAACTTGTCAGCCATTTGTAGCAAGCAAGCCTTGACGTGTTGATCCTTCTCAAGTTTGTGTCTCTGCATGAGGTGTAGGAGCTGCAACTTCGGAACGAGGCCACTCATTTTCGTTCTGTGCAGCGGGCTTGTGTCGTCATGGAACATGTCCTGGTGCAAGCAGCTTTGTGAGGCGTAATGCGTTGAGGTTTTTGGCAGTCTAGGCAGCCAGAAACCCAGGTCGCCGAAACCAAACTCAAAAAGAACCATCAGTATGATAAGAGTAAGCTGTTGCATAAACAACTCAAGACTTGCATGTGTGGACTTATTGCGCCCAGCAGCGCAGGATTTTAAATAGTGTCGGCACACCATCTGGGGCTTGAAGCATTATCGGATGCATCAGGCATTGAGCAGAACGTTATTCCACAGGCAAGTTGACAAATTGTAGGATCTCATACTTTGTCCACATGCTGAGCTGAGAGTACATGCACTTGCAAGAGATGCCTTGCTTCGGGGAAGTCTTTCTCTGAGCTGCAAAATCAATCAGTCAGGCAACTCTTGTAAAACTCCACATCGAGAGACCCTAGCTCTACCCGCAACCCCGCAATCTTCACCCAGCTTCTGGAGAAAAGCATCACAAAGTTGAGCCTGGAGATGCCGCTGCATCTCCTCGAAATGCTCGTCCTGCATCACCCACAATGTCACAATGCGTGGCAGTAAAACAAAGAAATGGGCAAAGCGTTCAGTTTTAGGGTTTAGGGTTGGGTTCGAGCCGTTGTAGCTAAGATGCTGTCGGTAGTGATTGAAGCCACCAGTGCAGGATTCGGATGTGCCAAAAATTTTGCCGGCCCCCAGTAAATTCAACAACACAACATGGTCAGCACATGTGAAAGCCTGGTGCTACATGGGATCCTAAGCAACCATCTTTTTTCACAAGCAGCCCAGAAAGGAGCCTGAATTCGCGGGACCTCCACAGGGACGGCTACGGAAATCGCGAAGTATCCTAGAGGGCGTCTTGCCCCACATTGAAACCCAGATACGTAGCTGAATTGCAGGTTATGCGGACTACAGGACCCAGTGGCTGTCCAAAATCAATCACATGCTCCGGCCTGCAGGTCTCTGTCTGAGTCCATCTGTGTTCCGCCCTGGTTTGCAGCGGTGACCACACGTAGCTTGGTTCTCGGGCGCTTGCAGTGTGGACCTCCATCTAGGTAGGCGCAGGGCTTACAGTCTTCGAGTTCGGAGTCGAAGGTCTAGTGCAGAAGGCTTGAAAGGTTTCGAGCTGTTGGTTATTGATAAGCTGCGAATCTTGCACCGTCGCCTGCATATGTGCATGCTTCCTAGACTTCAGCCTTTTGCCGGGCACGCCAAGGGCAAGACCCTCCATGACACCTGCCTTGCCTGCAAGAAAGCCAATACAAAAAGCCCTATTACATGTAACAACAACTTCCGGCTAGAACTTTACAATGCTGAGAGGTACATATCAACCGTGTCCGTTTCTTCGCTGTAGCTGTTGCTGGCCGTTAGCGCCAATGCATTTTGACGCCGTCCACAAGACATACACTTCCGAACATCCTGAAAGCACTACCAGGACAAGGCGGGTTCAGATTGACAAAGAAGCTGCTAGGCGACAGAAACAGGCATCGGCGGCCTCAATGAGGATTTATATCCAGCTATTTCCAGCTTCGCCAGGGTGTCTAATCTACATGCCCTTATGCCACTCAAGTGCACTTCAAACCTCGCCCATGACCTTTAACCCAACATTCCTCGTACTAGTGCTCGTTCGGGAAGGAGCGAATGGAACAAATAACTATCAACGATTGCACAGGCACCACGACCAGAATCCATTCCTCTGTTCCCTTGCTGAACAACCAGGAGTCTTGCAAGGGCCTGGAGCCGCGAGCCCGAGTCCTGTCCGGCGGCCTTGCTGGCTTACACAACAAACTTGTCATACTCAAAGCAATATGAGCCCTGGACTGCAGGAGTTCCCCCAGTCGCGCTTCTGAAACCCTATGTGGCAGTACTGTAGCAAGGGGCTCATTTCGGAGACAGCGCGAGCAATCCTCACCAGATCCTCCTGTACTAGTCTATACGCTGACAGTAGACACCTATCACCAGAATTTGCCAGAACCCAGAAAAAGGGTGTTTGAGCTCCATACATACTCCAGCCTCAACCAGATGAACTCGAAATCTGCACCATCTTGGCAAAACTGGACCTGTAATTTGAGTGGGGCACACTTTAACATCAGAGCCTCAAGGATCAGCATCTTCATCTTGTCAAAATGTCCGTCCAGCTGAGCCTGGCTGACTCTGCAGGGCAGCATGCTGCGGCGCGAGGCTGCCACGTTCATTCCGGCGTTGCGATGCCTCCACTTCCATGCGCACGTGCTGCAGAACGGTGGAGTAGTCATCCTTCGGGTTGGCTTTTCTTCTTGCATCAGCCAATGGGTCCAGCATGCAGAGCCCCTGCCCCAAACACTCCGATAAGCCCGCGCAGAATGCAGTGCCGGATAAAAGGTTCATGTGTCAGGTATCGGCAGCGCGAAGGTTAAGATCCGATGAAGAAGATACAAAACAAAAAGCGCGAAACCCGAACCTCACCCTCAAAACAGAAGCCCTAGTCTGATCCTGCGTGGTGGAGGAGCTGGGTGCAGGCAGACCCCCAGAAGGAAGCCCAAGCGCAGGCCTGCAGGAGAAAGTAATTACGTGAAGCATTCGTAACGTCTTGTCCGCAAGTCATCTGGCAGCTAAACGCCGTGCCACTGTACTTGGCTATTCGCACTTTATCCTACGCTGCAACAGAGCATCTGCTATGTTCTATAGAGGCATATTTTAACTGGCGAAGAATGAGCCCGTTCGAATCACACGCAGAACATGCAAGGCCGCTCACAATGTTCAACTAGTAAGCTCAAAACCTTGCAATCAGTCTCCAAACCTGAATCTGCAAACCTGGAGCTTGTGAAGGAAAGCGGCAACCCTAGAAAATAAAGTCCAAGGCCCCCAAGCCCGAGGCCCTGAGAAAAACCTCGCTTCTTGTGGACGTTGCAGTAAAGTGGCCTCCCGAGCTCCAGCTAGCCAGGATTGGTGGACCCACAGAATGAAGTGCAAAAAAAGCCAAGCATCGGCCTTTATGTACAGAAGATGGAGCTTGGACATAATGTGGTCTTGCTTCTTGGGTGGAGCCTGCTGCACCTTCTTGCGGTTCACCTTTCTTGCCTTGTTACGGACTGGCAGGTCATTTACAACTGCACGCAAGGACGCTCCAATTCAGCCAGGACTGCTGTGCGAACCGCCAAATTTGAGGGCTGACGCTTACATGCGGCGTTGGTTTTGTTTTAGGATTTGCGTTGCTAGTGTCTCGCGGTCGCACCAAAACCCAACACCCGCCTTTGCTGCTTGCGTGGCCCGCGGCGAGTCCTCCTCCTGATCGACAACGCAGATGCCAGTTTTAGTACATGAGGCCATAAGGGTCTTTCTTTCCTCCACCACCACCACCACCACCACCACCACCACCACCACCGCGCAGTGCTGCTGATGACCACGACTGCTGCTGGGGACCGTCATTTGCTAAATAGGCAGGTCCCCGCACATTACAGCAACTTTCCGCTGGCGAAGCGAGGAATGTTTGCTGTTTGGCCAAGGAAGCACTGACACTCCAAAGGAAAGTGGTGCACAGCAGCCGCGGCCGGTGCACACAACTGTTGCCAACTTCCTCCATTTCCATGCCTGGGCCGAAACCAACAGACGAAAACAAGTCAAGCAGTAAAACCCCACACGTCCCGATCAAGCGTCTGCCGGATGTTGGAAAAGATGATACCAAGCCGCTCGAGGAATACGGGAACGCTCAAAATCAAAAAAGTTGAAGAATGTGTGGAATTGAAGAAGAAAGCACATCCAAGTGGCGCCGAACATCAGGGGTCAAGTCTGGAATGTGGGCAGTAGCCACAACTTCTTGAAGGTAAATATCCACAGCTCGGGAAGAGAACCATTTTTCACGTCTTCGATCTGGATTCTCACATTCATGCAAGAGAAGCACCGCGCCTCCTGGCCGAAAAGAGCTCACGTCAAACACAGGCCTGATGGAACCGCAAAGGTGCAACTTGACCAAAGTGTCACATAGACGACGTCGCAGAGTAAGCCCAAACAGAGGCCATAGAGGAGCATACAACGGGAGATCGCCAAGCATGACCTCAATCAAATCCACAATGTCACCACCGTCCACCTTTGCTGCTTGATGATGTGCTGCACCGCCACGAGTCTTTGGAGCACGGATTTGAAGCAAAAGAAATCCAGCCCCTGGCCTCACACCAGGAGGGTTGAATCCTCCTCGGTTGCGCCTGCCCAGTCTCGAAGGCGTGGGGTCTCGGGGCATCGCCTTGTGATGCACGTCAGCCAACCAAGCAAACACCAAATCCCAAACAGTGGAAAGCTGTCTTCGCATCGCAGGTTTTAGGCTGGCGACAGCATAGACCGTTTTGGAGAATCAACCATACTATGCAGCTCCTGACCTGACCATCCTGGCCCGTCAGAATTTACCGCATGAGCGGCAGGAAGGTCAACTAGTGAGCTGCCTTGCATTCCTTGTATCCTAGCATCGAACAGATCGGATGGTAGCAGAATCTCTTCTGAAGTTGCAGGGCCAGAGAAGCAGCGGTTTCCCTCTTCGGTTTTTGGCGGCGGAGGGGTCTTTACAGCGGATTTCTGTCGCTTTCGCGTCGGCGGGGGCTGCGCCTCGTCGGGGGTGTAAGGCCGAGCTGAATGGAAAGGCACATGCAGCTCCACGGATTCGGCTTGATCCAGTGGGGCGAGCTGGTCCACAACTCCCATGGACAGGTCCACGGCCAGAGCCTGCACCACAGAATCTGGCAACAGATCCAATCGCCTCCCATCTACCTCTTCTGAGGGCCCAATCAGAGCGGGGCCATGGATCCGCCTGAAAGTCCTCCTCCAACAAGCGCCCACAGGAAGGGCCAGCAACAGGCCATGGTTTCTTTCAGCAGTACAAGAGTAAGGCACCCGATGACACCCTCGCTTCCAACAGTTGGATGCTCGAAGACCAAGACGGCGGGTCTTCCGAGAAATGGGCTATGTCCTCCAGGGACACAAAAGACATCACCTCGCACCCAAAGTTCACTGCACGCGGGCTGCTGCAAAGTCCGAGCCTCTGATTCAGAAGGGAAGGAATGGAAGGGCCGACTGCCGCACGGAAGGCAGCGTACGAATGGTAGAGCGCTGGCTGAGCTCTACAGGAGCAAGAGCAAAAGTGGGAGCAATCTGCTTGCCGACTGGGTCCTGTCACGGCCAGAGAGAAGAAATTGCTCGTAGAGACGTGGAAGAGCCACGCGCGAGAGCGCTCTGGAAAGGATGCAGCTATGGCGCGTGTGATACTTGCACGGGCCCGAACACCCAGCAAGGGGCCCTGTATGGCAAGGACCGGAGCAACGAGCAGCTGAGGACTGCCAGCCGACTGGCGACAGAATGAACCTGATGGGGGACTTTCCTTTTGTCCCATGACAGCACAAAATTAAGAAGTTTCCTACAGGATCCGAATCGAAGGAAGTCCTGGAGGCACTGAAGGAAGGTAGTGGCCTCGGCAAGGGGCCATCGCACCCATATTTCCAAGGGACCCACCTGAGCCAACGAAACACCCTTCTCTGGCCGGGCTTGCACGCAAGAAACTGCAATAACGAAGCCCGCAAAAGACCACAAGAATAGGACAGGAGGGTGCCTGGCGCAGTAGAAAGGAGGTTCGAGGCCGAAGAGGCTCAAGGAGAGGGCCTTGTGTCCGAACCGAACCAAGTCCACAAACAAATTCATCAGAGCTTGAGCGGCCAGTCAACAGCTCATTCGAAGCTTGCATGTCAAAGTATCATTCAGGGTTTGGCACAGTGCGGGACCGCTGCCTGCCGTGACGGAACCAACTCTTCGCACTGCGAGAGCACCTCCTTTGGAGCCTGCATGCAATTGCAGCAGCGTTTCGCTGGCATGTAAAGGACTGCGTAGGGCTCACAAGAATGTATAGCACGCGATATCACGCGATCGGCTTTGAAGAGGACTTCGCCGGAAATTTAAACATGATTCGTGCTGTGTAGAAGGCCACGACACCATATGTTCCAAGAGTCGATGCTGGCTTCGTCTGATGACTCATGCCCAAGCACTATAAGGCACCGCTGGCATGACATTCAGCAGCAGACGAGCCTGCAAGGATTTCGAGACATCATCCTTGAGCTTTGCAATATCATCCTGGTGCGCCTGGCAGGCTTCTTGCAACATCGTGCGTGACATGGGGATTTTTTTTACCGGCGCGGCTCACAGAGTATAGTGCGCGACGGTTCTTTTCAGGGCTCCCCAAAACAATACGGAATGCTTAACATGAGGACCCTTGAAAGGCACGCCTGACATTGAGAAACTGCCCAGACTCGGGTTGGAGAGGTGGAACTCGGGTCTTCAGGTCTAGACGGACCTGGGAACCTAAAGCGCGCTGCGGTCTACTACCAGTATCATCTACGATGGTCTAGCCCAAAACCACTGGAATGCAATCGCATGCGATCGACTTGCGGCAGCACAAAGTGCTAGAACCTCGGCGCGCCCCTTTCTGCAGTCCTATGCCGCTCATCACTGCGAGTGTGTTGTAACTGCCGGTGAGGGGTAAGGTAGACACTACTATAACATCACTATGATCAAGGTGTTGCATGTTCAACATTGTTCAACTCGTCACTGCCTGGAAGAATTCCTTCATCTTATTGAACTGCCTCTCCTGCTGCGCCTTGCCAGGAGCTGGGCCAAGGCTAGATTCAGAGGCCCAGTCAGGTCTGCAACAGAATCTGTCGATTCTAGCGGAATTCTAGCGAAAGATATCAACAGAACGCGCTGGGTCTGACACCACAGCTGAGCCACCACCATGGTTACGCTCTCGGGCACTCACACCGTTGCCTGCACGTTGGCACGGAGTTGCTTGAGTTGTGAGTGTCCTGTCGCACCCTCGAACACAATGAAACAGTGTACGCATAGGGGTCGAATGCAGCGAATGGTTCAACACATAGTGTAGCAGGCGCTTTGTAGGGCAACGAAGAAAAAGCCGCGCATGAGCACAGAGCGCGAGCGATACAAAGCAGACATGGCTACTGGCTGCTCTGTACGGATGAGCGCGCTCGAGAATCTCATCAAGACTGCATACCGCCTTGACGATGGACAGCACGAAAATGATCTGTAGAGGTATTGCAATGCTCGAAGCCGCCGTGATGCTCGCGAACCGCAAAGTGAGTAGGGAGTCTCAAAGAGCACAGGACTTTCAAGCCCTCTCATCCCTCTCGGACCCAAACAGCTGACGTGCAAGAGTAGGCTGCGCTCTGCAACCAGTGACTCAAGCCAACGAACAAAAGTATGGAAAGTTGCATTCTAGCTCGACACGGGATCTTCTGCCACATCAGCCCTTGCCCCCGTGCTGCCTGGAGGAGCTGGCTCATCTTCTCGAACTCTCTCTCCTGTTGAACCTAGCCGCGAATGCCAACCAGGATCACATGCCCTAATCCTTGGAACGAAACAGTGCGAATGGCCTGTCATCTACAGGCTTTATGGAAGATTGTTGAGGCACCCAGCTAGGCCTCCATGTCCTTGCGAAGTTGTTGAAGGTCGTCTGAGCAGGACAAGTCCTGCCGCTCGTGATGGAACGCATCAGACACGTGGCAAACACAGCCACCAGGCAAACCCGGAGCCAAAGCACGGCGCGCGGAGATCTCAGAAGCCACAAGGATGGGCCGGATGCGGCGCTCATGAAGACATCCATGTCAATTGTGCCAACCTAGGCTCCCCAAACCGTACGTGCTGAACCCTGAACCACCACCCAAAGCTTCAAAGCCAAACGCCTTGAGATCACAAGCCTGCGTCTGCACGGCAGAGGAGCTTGCATCGGCAGCAGGAGGAGAAGGCTGTGGCTGCGGCTGGTCCACAGCCCTGCCAAATCTGACCACTTTTACGAGATTGAGCGTTGAGGCTGAAGGTTGAGGGTGAAGAGTACTAGGGTTTGTGAACTTTCGAGTAACAATCTGCTAGCCTACACCCAAAGAATGAAATCCAGATTCGGAGATTGGGGATTTCAGTTGCTCAGCAAAATTGAGGCCCGCTTCGAAGAAGATACGAATCACCTACGAACGAGCACAAATCCGCGAGGCAACTAGCCCAAACACGTCAGCAACATTGGCCATTTGGATGTTCGTTAATTATGGAGTAGCGTAGTTCGCCTCGGCCTCGTCCAGAACAAGCCTCCTGCCCCGACACCCAACCGCATTCGTGATGCGCCCCCCCACCCCGCCCTGGGACCCCCACCAGATCACTTGGAGCTCGCCGTGGGGGGCACCTGCAAGAAACAGCTTTTTTGACACCCTTTTTTGGATCCTGGGAACCGCCCCCACACCCCCCCTCGGACCCACTCGGCTCTGGAAACCCGTAATACCCCCCTCGTCCAATCCTTCTTGGGACCTACAAAGCCTCAAGCATTTTGGGACCCCATTGAGTCTTTTGGAAATTTTGGAATTTCCTGGGCCTTGGGACGTGCGCCGGCCAGGCTGCCGAGGCGCCGCGCGCAAGCGTTTACAATTTTCAGGGGTGTAGGGATCACTGAAACTCTAGTCAGGAGCTCAACATCTCAATCCGAAGGTCTTAAAGCCCACAGCATAGAGCACTTCTTGATACATTAGACTCACCTGCACCATCTTAATGCAGTATTACGCAATGACGCCTGAGTTTCTACAGCACGCACCACCGCAAAAAAATGTGAGAATTGCGGTTCCCTCACCCCAACATCCTGGGCAGGAGGGTCGCAAAGGCCTTCTGAGCCTGCCAGAAGTCGGACTTGGGTTTTGTCGCTAGGGCCTGCGGTGATAGACATCGGCCTAACCGCACATACTCTCAGTTACTATCAGAGATGGAGATGGGTTTAAGGGTTTGAAGTTTGGGCTCCAGGGCTCGGCTGCAACGGTTGCAGATTGCTCGGACCGGATGCCAACAGGAACAAGCCCTGCCCAACAAAGGAGCATATGGCAGCCTGAAGAGTGAGTTGTTCCGATAAAGTCCCCCCAAAACCCCAGTCGAATCACTCAGGCCCCCAAACTATGGCCCTTCCCGAGGCCCTCAGGTGTGGCTGACAATATCCTTTGGCAGCTGACATAAGACTTCGGGGAAGAACGAAGGACCTTGAAGGACCATTATGCCTTTGTCGAAGATTCGCATCGTATGGCATCGTGCCCTGTTGCGAGTTGCAGCATGCACGAACCATGCAAGCGGAAACCGGCGCTCGTCCTTGCACGCCTATCCTTTTCTGTCTGTGGTATAAACCTTCAACATCGCAGCAAGCAATGCCGAAACCACAACGGTCCACCTGCTTGGCGTGCCCTTGTGAACTCTTCTCCTGATCCAAGGCAGTTAGCTGGGAAGGTCGAGAGGGGAACGCCGTGCCTACCCTCGCAAAACACATCAGGGTTGCTCTCATATTCAGACCGTTGATTGAACACTCTCAAGTGCATGTTGTCTGGTGATGAGCTTCGGTATCCTTCTCTGCATGAACCTTTGATACCAGAGTCTCCGGTGCCAAAGTATACTACTGAACACCAAGACAACAGCAGCGCGCCAGCCTTTGCTACCTTGGGAACATGCTGCACTTTAGTAGGTTCTTTGCTCTGGCCTTCATGGCCCCGAGTAGGGCATCCAGCAGATCATAGCCCTGGGCCAGTCTTTGCAATCACTTGTCGATCTGGCCGTTTCAGACAAATTAATGGTGGAAGCGTTGGTAGTTGAAAGATGTAAGCTCATGTGCTGGGCTCAGGGGTATCTTCAAATCTAAACCAGAAGCTGTAGCCTAAAACCCCAAAACCGAATCCACAAGCCTTTAATTGAATCAAAACTGGAAGCCCTGCCTGCTGTAGCTTATCGTCAAGCTCGTTCGCCTTTGCTTGGCAGCCGGCAAGTCGCAAGAAAGCGTTGCTGGCGTCTGACGACACGAGGCAAACTGATGTGTTCAACGACCTACACCTTCTGGCTGAGGGGTAGCTACCCGTCACTGGTCCTCATTGGCAAGCGGCCCAGGGACGAGTAAACATCCTGTCGCGGCTCGAGTGTGCATCCTCGGGTAAAGGTTTCCAGCCGTATGGCACCAGGGCGGGGCCCTGTGCATTCTGCGGCAGCTGGAAAATGCATTGCGGGGCATTCTGCGGCAGCTGGAAGATGCATTGCGGGCTTCCCGAAGGACAGCTACCTTACCATGGCACCAGGGCGGGGCCCAGTGCAGCGGCAGCTGGAAAATGCCAAATCGGGGCAAAATCAATTTCAGCTAGTTGTTTCCGCCTGCGCCCGAGATGAGCTGTCTTCTGCCTTCATGCTGGGCCGTGATTGGAGATGGTGCTTTGTGCTGGTGGGTCTCGTGAGTACTGGCACTTCTGTAACAAAACGCGCAGTTCGCTGAGGCATGCACACTCCCAGATGGCTGCGAGCTCATCTGTAGATGAAGCCGTCAGCCTTGGTCACGCGTTCAGGCAGCTTTCGGCCTCTGACTGCACGATGGTTGGAAGCACTGCTCTCTCCGCAACCTGTCTGCGCTGCAAAATCCGAAAGGGCCAAAAAGATGTAGGAAAACGCGAAGGATCAAGAGAGTGAGTCAAAAGGGTTGGGCGACTTCAGGCATTGAAGTCCAGGACTTGGCCACTAGCTTGCCACGGATGTTTACAACATTCCCGAATTAACCCCTGCAACACTCCATGTGCGACCCTACTCTACACGAGCTTCCTGAAACTGTTCGAGGCCCTACAAAACATGCTTATGCCCGAAACAGCATCGCGTGTTAAGGCGTCTCGGCTCTGATTTTCGAGCTCACGGTCTTTGGGGCTTCCATGCGCTTTACGCTCTGCTTTTCGAAGGGGCCTTTAGGGCTGTCTGAGGGTTTGGCCTTAAAGCGGTACGTCCCATGATCAGGTTTAGGAGTATACTTATTCATAAGCTGTGAAATTTGTCAGGCGCTACCCCTAGAACTGGAACCCGGGCTTCAGGATAGCGCCTCCATTCTTCCTGCAACCCTAAGTTGGATCTCTGCAAGGCCGTTTCTGAAGCCTTCTGATAACCCAAACACTCCAACCTTGCACTCCAAACCCAGAAGCCCCCTCCAAAACGTCCCCCCCCTGAACCCCCTTAACTTCCCGACGCCCCAGCCCCCAACAACCGCGAACCCCGACGCTGCCGAGGCTTTGGGCCGAGGCCCTGAGGACTTCGAAGTTGGAGCACTCCAGGCCTTCTGTTGGGCTTTTTTAAGGGGAGATGCTCATAGGGACATTTATATGGAGGGTTTACAGGGACTCATAGCAAGGGGGGGGAGGGGCTTATGGGATTCCAGGAGCGTTGTGGGAACTAGGGCCCTTTAGGGCTTGAAGTTTTGTTCGGGGGCTTTTAACGTGTGGGTCTTTGAAGTCTGTAGCAAAAATCAGGGATGTTTTGCCTCTAGACCCTTTAAACCCTCTAAACCCTCAAAACCTACTTTGAAATATGTAAAGAAAATGTGCTCTTAGAACAAAAAAAACCTATAATCCCCATAATCCCCTTAAACCCTACAAACCCAAAGCCCGAAGCAGTGGTTTGGGTCAACTCCCCTGGGCTCTCGGAGTCGGCTGGCCCAGGATGTGCCCCAGGGACCCAAAGTGCCCCCTCCGCATGTTTAGGGTTTAGGGTTGATAGGGTTGATAGGGTTTAGAGGGTTTAGGGTTTAGGGACCTCAAACTATGCAAAGTATAGGGGACTCTGGGGTAGAGCGTTGAGGGTTCACACAAAACCCCAACCAACCTGGGTCTTGGGGTATCTCTATGCGCCGAGGGCCCTTGCTCCCTTGGAAGGAGGCGGCCAGGGGGCGCTTAAAAAGAGCCTACAAGCCCTGAGCCAGGCTCCGGCTGCAATCTTCAACCTGAGAGCCTTAGGCTTTAGGGGGTTCAAGACTGTCCTGAAGCCCCCCACACAGGGTTTGTTGAAGCCAGCGCAGGTGGCGGCGAAGCCTGAAGCCGGAGTCCAGAGGGCTTCAGGCTTGCGGAAGTTTGGGTTCAGGGTCTGGCGCCCACGCGCTCGCCTTAGGTCAACTGGCCTCCAATACCGGAACCAGGAAGCTTAGGCAACGCTACATCGTCCCGTCGTCCCATTTCATCGGGCAAGGAGGACACAAGGCGTCAGGGAGCTCTGAATGGGATGTACAGTAAAGCATGGCCAGAAAAAGGTCACTGGAATTTCGAGTTTGGGAGCCCGTACCACATACAGGCCATGAATACTTTCCGACCAAGACCCTTCATAAGCCAAGCAGCATCGAAGTCGCCAGGCCGCTCCAGGCCCAATGCTTTCTCGAGGCTGGAGTGTGCAATCCTATGGTGAAACTATACGTGCTACGTATAAGTGTACTACGCACAGCGCCATAGCACATGTTATGCCCTCCGGTGTGTCACTTGGTCGCTACATGTACGTATCGGAAGCCCTTTAAAGGACAGAAGCTCCAAAATCGCCTTCTGCAGCATAAAGCCCTCATCCAGTCCCCACAGGGCCGAAACTTCTATGACTTGGTCTGTGGATGTCTCGTGCGAAAGAATGGGCTGCGCGGCTGCTCCGAGCCCAGCAGGCGCACAAGCTTCTTGAAGGGCTTTGGGTGATTTGAAGTGGTTCAAAGGGCTCACAGATCGTGAAAGGGGCCCAAAGATGGGCCAAGCGGATCCTGCATGAGACTTGCATCTGGGCCTCTAAAACCGAGTACACTGTGCTGTACTCGACAACCTCTTCTCTTCTCTGCTGTACTCTGACTATGCCTCTGCACGCGATAATAGAGTATCACTTATGCAGTACAACAGGCATCCTCGAGCTCCTTCTTTCCCGTGATGTGTCTACAGGCTTGGCTTCCCCTGGGCGGTGTCCTCATTTCATGAGCGACCCCCCCCCCCAAAGCAATTTGCAATTCAGCATCCTAGGAACAACACAAGCATCTCAAAACAAAAGGCCAAAATTTGGGTCTCGGTCTTGTTTGTGATGATCTCGTCAGTTGCCCTTGCAGCCCATTCCATGCCTTCACAATGTCACGGGCAACTTTCTCTGTGTCCTGCATGCCAATGTCAACAATACGGTGAATAGATCTGCGCAGCACCACGTCATTTTGACGTCGACCTTCATCATCTGGAGGCATTGGTGGGAATGCGTCGCACAACTGAACGGGAATTATGGGTAGTTCAGTCTCATGGGCATACCGCAGCTCCACGAACGTCTCATATTGGATGCCCGTCTTGGCCCCATAGTCTTCCGAGCAGAACGCGATCATTCCCAGCGCGTGGTGCAATCCAAACATGGTCTTGTCCCCGAAGGTGTCTCCGGGTCCACGCGTCTGGACCATGTAGACGGGAACCCTCTCAGCATCCAACAGTCTCTTGACTGCGCGCATGTACTCTAGCTTTTCCGGTGAATTGAACCGGCCTGAGACGAGGAGGTGTCGCCTCTGAGCTTGCTGTAGCGAAGTGGACATTGCAGGGGAAGGACGTGGCGTGTAGCCTGGAGTGTGCTCCTCTTGCTCTTGCGCTGCCTTCGGAACAATTCGCAGACCCAAACCGTCATGCTACTTGGAGTCAGGGACACCAACCACTGACTACACCTTCCATTTCCAAACATGCTCACCACTCCCCGGACCTGATCCGACTTAGGACCTGAAGCTGCAAAAAATGCACCGCCTGCACGACGACCGTGCGCGCGACACTGCGGTCTCGCATGCTGTCGATATGCTCCATGGAGACGCCAGCCTCAGAGGGCGTTGGAGGATGCCTAGACTTCACAGTACCTGGAAGCACGGCGGGAGCTACAAAAGCCGCATGGCCCAGGCTGGGTAACCTTGCAGGAGCGCGGGGGAAGAGCGCAACAATGTGTGGAAGAAGAGAGGAGCGATGACATAACATTCTGGGCGAGAAGGTGGGCCTGGGAGGCCATGACCCTGCAGTGGAATTAATCCGCACAGAAGTATGGCAGTAAACTATCGCATCAAACCGTAAAGAGAGAGAGAGAGAGAGACAGAGACAGAGAGAGAGAGAGAGAGATAGAGAGAGAGAGAGAGAGCGCGAGCGAAAGAGAACAAAACAAAAAACATAGACACATGGTAAACTCAAGAGGACAGAGCAAGGCTGAGCCAGGCACAGAGATAGTTGCAGCGAGGTGGGGATCCGAGAGTTAAGTCTGAAGGACAATGAGGTCGCATCCGGCATGTGAGGCTTGCACAGACACGCATGCCAAGCAAAATGAAAAGAACTCGGCAAAGCAGGAATCCGAAGAGTGACCCCATTTGCCAAGCCGAGCTGCAGCGAAGCTGCTGATCTGCCGCAGAGGTATGAGGTGTTGGTCCTCGTGCTCTCCTTGCACGGAAGGAGACCGCTAAACAAGGCGCGAAGCTGAACCAGCCATGATTTTTGCACAAACGTCCAAAGGGTTTAGGCTGTTAGCCAGTTTGGGCTCAGGCGGAGCTGCTGGGCTGCATGGAATCCTCAGCCCAGAGCCCTCCAAACTCCAAACCAGGCCTCCCGCAAGCGCCGGCGTCACATAGCCCTCGTCCGATACCCCAACCTCTGCGAGTACCTGGCGCGACATTCCTGGGTATTCTGGAAAGGAAGGGCAGGGTCCGGCTTGCGGCCCAGCGTCCTGAAGTGCAGCTCGCACCTGAATCCGGGTGCGTGGAGGACAACTGACATACCTGAGCCAGAACCTGGTTGAAAAGACTGTACAAGGTCTTGCTTCTATGTCGAGAGGGACATGTTCTTCGCTGTATCGTTGTTGCTGTTGGTGTGGTAAACGTAGCTTGTTTACGTTTGGTCAACTTGTTTGTAAAGGGATGCGTTCTGCGGAAAATTGTACACCTCGATGACGATGCTAGATGTCAGATGACGATGCTAGTGCGTACACTCTTGCATGCAATACAATACAATACAAGACAATACAATACAATACGATACGATACGATACGATACAATACATACGCACGTACATACATACATACATACATACATACATACATACATACGTACGTACGTACGTACGTACGTACGTACGTACGTGTGTATATACAGAAACATATATATATGCTACCCCCCCCCCTCAAAACCCGCGTTTTACTATGTTTTCCTATCGTACACTATGAAAACCTCTCCCCAGAAACCCTCAGTTCCAGAATTCCAGAATTCCAGAATTCCAGATTTTCTGAGATCCCTAATTCCAGAATTCCAGAATTCCAGATTTTTCAGAGGCCCCCAGTTCCAGAATTCCAGAATTCCAGAATCTGGAATTCTGGAACTGGGGGCCCCTGACAAATCTGGAATTCTGGAATTCTGGAATTCTGGAATTCTGGAATTCTGGAATTCTGGAATTCTGGAATTCTAAGAGCCGAGAAAAAGGTTACATTTTGAAATTGAGACGGAAAATAAGAGTCTTATTCATCTTACCGAATAGGTTTCCTATTTAAGATTAATCCTACTGCCGTTCATTTTACTGGGGGTTCGTATTAAATTGATAAGATTCCGAATAATTTTACTAGCATTCACTGCTTTTAAGTAGGATTCCTGCATTTGTCTAATTGGGTTCGTATTAATTTCTAAAGGATGCCTATTAAAGGGTGCCTATTGGATTTATTCGGGTTAATATTGATTACTATTCATTTTCATCAGATTCCAAGTAGTTGAATAGGGTTCTTGGTAATGTTAATAGCGTTCTTATACCTAGTGTTTTTTAAACATATTCCTATGATGTTAATGGGCTTCTTATTCAATTTCAAAAGATTGCGTACAATTGTTAATTGGATTCTTTTTGCTTTGATAAGCTTCCAATTAATTTAGATAGGTTCCTGATTAATTTGAATAGGCTTCGTATTCATGTTAACAGGGTCTCTCATTCATGTTGAAAGGATTCTTCATAATTTTCATAGGGATCCTACTAGATTCAACAGTGCTCCTACTGTTTTTTGAATACTGGTCCCTATTCATTTCAATTGGACTCGAAATAATTTTATTGCAATTCTTAATAATTTTAACAGCAGTCCTATGAACAAAAAGTTTTAATAGGGTTCATAGTCATTTCATCAGTGCGGCTCTTATTGTTTCAAAGGGTCCACGTTACTTTTTTATAGAATTTTATTGGCTCCTCTTAATCTTAATAGGACTCGTCTTCATGTTAAACGGATTCCTGTTACTCGTAAAAGAATTCGCAGAAGTTTTTATAGGGTTCATATTCATTTTAATAGCATTGCAGCATTCCTATGAATTCAAAGGGGTTCCTATTCATTTCAATGGGCTTCCTATGATTCCTTTGAGTTTAGGACTCCAAGAAATTAGAATAGGAGTCCTACTAATTTGATATGCTTCTACATATTTAAACCAGATTCCTATCAATTGTTACTGAATTCATACGAACCCTATGAATCCCATTAAATTTAATAGGAACCCAAGTAAAACTAACAGCAATCTAGCAATCTTATTGATAGTTTCTTACTTTTTTTAAACGTTTTTTTAACACTTAATAGCAATCCACGATCTCGAGCAAATTGTTCAGGTCACTTCTGTTTGAGCACTCGCTCGAGCAATGGCTGAGTGGATCTAATTTTGTGAATTAAGCTTTTTGGAACCAACGAAGTTAATTAAAAGTAACGAAATCAAGGACATTAGACAAATTAGTGAAATTCAGTAAACTATTTACTGAATTTCTAAAACCCTACCATGACCAAACTGGGAGGCCGATCTGTCGGACTTCAGGGAAGAGCATATGGAAGCGTGGGTTTTGGGGGGGGGGGTACCATATATATATATATATATATACTGCTTGCATTGCCTTGCCTTGCCTTGCCTTGCCTTGCGCTGCGCTGCGCTGCGTTGCGTCGCGTTGCGTTGCTTTATGTTACGCAAGCGTTACATTACTTTACGTTACATTCCATGCATACATGCATACATACATACCTACAGACAGACATACATACGTACGTACATGCGCACATACACATACGGGGCGAAAACAAAGAGCAGAGTGCTCTGGCTGGGTGACTGGCTTTTGAGCCAGAACTTGCCCAGTTCAAAAACGCGGGTGTGTGCTGCCTACGCTCGATCTCAAAGCTTCGCTGCTTGAGGCTACCCTCAGATGCCACGTGCATTCCCTGATATGACGCCCTGGGGCCACTGAAAACCTTGAATCCACACGCCTGCGCACACTGCACCCTGAAATATGGCTTCTCTCTGCGTCCGGTGGTGCAGTGGTAGAGCTGCTGGGCCATGTGCATCTGCGGCGCCTTCGCGAAGGCTAGAGCACGTAGGGCTGTGAAAAAACAGTACATTCTGCTTCTTGGCTTTGGATCAGATGCCCACTTCCAAAGCCTCAGTCTAAACCTCTCGCCTCCCTGGAGCGGGCTGTCGGTGGAGGCAGTGGCCGAGGTGTCGGGCTGAGGTGATCGCCTCGAAGATCATGTGCAAGGTAGCAAAGAAGAACATGCAAATTCAAAGAACCCCGGGAGCAAACACAAAGGACCAGGGCCGATCTGAGGACGAGGAGTCTCGCACTCGAAGGTGCAGAAGGTGCAACCCCACAATGTCACGACCGGTGGTGCTCTCAACATTTCAGCCACGCTACCTCTGGCGAACTTGTTCTACTGGGTCTGCAGGAGCGTCAGGCGGAGGCGGGACTGCGTGGCCTGAAGACGAACGTGCGCAACATTTGTTTCACAGCATGGCCACCGTGCAGCCAACGGTGAATCGGTCAAACTACAAAAGCTTCGACAGTGAACAGGTGCAGATGTCCGTACAACACACACATACACTGGCGTAACCCACCTCTCACAACTTCCGAAGCCTGAACCCTGATCCATTAACCCCTATCGACTGAACCTCGAACACTGGTTCCCAAACCTCAAACCCTCAACCCTGGTTTCTAAACCTTTCCTTCAGATATAGATATATATGTGTGTGTGTGTGTGTGTGTGTGTGGAAATTTATGTAAGAATTCATTTCTATTTATATGTACACTTGTACTTGTACTTGTACTTGTACTTATACTTATACTTATACTTATATGTATACTCATACTTTTGTTGAAACCCGCACTCCTTCGTGGCAGTGTTCAAATTTCATGCGTGTTTCCACTCACCCCTGAACAGCGTGCCTTCCAGAACTGTCGGGAGGACAGAGCTGCTGGCAGAGGCGGAGGGCTCTGGCTGTGGGAGCTGTGGATCTGGCAGCCTGAAACAGGAAACCCTTGTGTCGTGAGGGTCGCAGTGCACGGTTCGTGCCGGGAACAAGGGACGGAGGCATTGTGGCTTCTAGGATAGGTATCATATGGTATCACTCTATCTGATAGATAGCTGGCACACGCTGTGATCTATTCCTGCATTCCCTACGAACCGGAATGCGAAGCAGCATATCTCACAACTGCAGAAGCATGCCACCAGAGCTGCAATAAACAGAACGTACCGAGATAGATACGATGTCAGCGACGTCAGCCAGACATCTTGAACTTTCACTGCCCAGGTGCCCTTGGCACCCGGAGTCTAGCTCGGCAGTGTCTTGCAGGCCTGGACCTGTAGGGTTCAGGGTTTAGAGTTTAGGGCTTAGGGCTAAGGGTTTAGGGTTTGGGGTTTAGGGTTTAGGGTAAAAACCCTCTACACGTCCGGAAAGCGCGAACAGTTTCACGGCAATCAAGATGCTTCTGCTTGAGAAGAGTCGACATGTGCCTCAACGCGTGCTCTATCAAGCAAGACTCGCACTTTCCACTGCCCATAAGCCAGTGTAAAACAATGTCCTATGATCAGTCATGTCCTGTGATTGTTGTCCATAAGTAGATGTATCTCCTTCTGACCTTGTAGTTCAAACATAGCCCCATGCGTGGGATGTCTCTCGGGGTTGATACCCCCACTTTGTGCTATCATGTGTACAGCTCTCCTCCATTCTGCGGTTCCTGTCTTTACACGGAGCCTACTTATGAAGGTACCCAAAAAGATCGACCGTACTTTGCCAAACTGCCTGCAACACTGCCTATGCCGCAGTTTTGGTGCACCATTGTCTTTGTGCATTAAGAAAACTCCCCCTTTGTCATTTTCAGTAGATCATTGACATTACTGAGTGTGTTGCACTTTCTCGGCTCTTTTCTGTTGTTTATGTGTATGGCATAAACCTCGGACGCCTTAGCTGCAATATCGTGAGTTGTGTGCACAACGCCCTCAGTTACTTCTATAAGGTTGTAGTTGATGGAGTGAATGGCTGCCATTACTAGTCTGTTTCGGCTTCGGACAAAGCTTCTTGCTGTTGCAAGGGTCGCATTTGCAATACTTTCTTGCAGTGAACATCAGAAGTTCGGGCGGGTGTGCACGCGAGCATTTCAAGCACCCTGCCTGCCCCTTTTGTCACGGCTATGCTAGCGACCCCTCTTCTGCCTCATGAAGTTGTCCTCGTAATGGTCCGTAATGGCATTTACCCAGGCTTGTCACGGAATGTAGCTTGCACTGTCAGGCGTTTGTATTTACTTCAGTGTAGGGGCTAGGGAATGTAGATGCCGATATTCTGCACATTTTGCTTTTCTGGCTGCGGTTTCTTCATCACTCTTGTTTCCAGCACCCCTCATCTTTCTAATGGCATCGATGCACGCTCCACATCATTAACTCGAAAGACTTCTCTGTCTTCGTTGACGTCATGACTGGCCATAGTATTACACGGAAGATGATTCTTGAATGTTCAGTATGACTTAAAACTGTTCATAAACTGCAAAATTATCTTGTGCTAGAGTGCGGTACGAGTAGAGTGGGGTCCTCATGGTGGGACGCATCGAGCCTACTTCTGACCATTGATTGCCACTAGAAGCTTCCCTAAGTCTGACCTGACCACACGCCTGTCTGGAGCCACGCAGCCGCCGAGCTGCTTGCAGCGCTGGTCTGATGGTTTTGAGCACCTTGATCTGACTGCCTGGGCCCACAAAGTGGCTGGGGTTCACAGCGGCCGGTCAGAAAGCCAGAAGAGTCGCTTCATTAAGCACCACTTCTACTTATGAGGGTGCTGGGCACACCAAAAGGACAAACACATCAAGACTGGTCACTGGCGGGGCTGCCACGAGAACAGGAACTCGCATGTCCATGGGGGCTCAAGGTGCCAGGTGCCGTATGGCTGGCTGGGTCCCGCGGCATTGAGCCGCTCAGAAAAACAGGGTACAGCCTCCCAATCCCGATACGCCCAAGCACTCCCAAGACTTAGTTGAACTTAAGCGAATTCAACCAGCAAACTGCAAAGAGGTAGGCGAAGCAACGAGGCTTGCAACACAGAGGAAGCCTGTATGGGCTGAAAGCACGACACGAAAGCAAGTCAACAGCCTGTCACCTCAAGGTGGAGGTCATGTACAAGTTTACGCCTCATATAAGCCTGGCAACGGTGAACAAGATGGCTAAAAAACCATTATCATGTATGCACCTACTCACCTAGTCCTAAATTCTACATGTATAAGGGTATTTAAACTCAAGTCAACAAAATACAAGTATTTCCTCTCTCTGACTCAGGTGCATCTGGTGCATCGGACGCTCTGATGGTTCAGTTGGCGCACCAGGCAAACCTGAGCAAACGTTAGTGCTTCGATTTGCTCAGTGATTATGCTCGAGTAAAGCGGTTATGTCTACTCAAGCATCCGGAAAGAAGAGGGAGAGGGAAGCTCTCTGAAGGTACCGTTTGGGAAATCCTAGCAGGAAAATGCGCTACAAACTATTCAGCTCTGGCCGGGGCGCAGAATGTGTGGGGCTGGTCGTCGATGGAAACGTCAAAGCGCGGCTCTTGCACGGAAATTGTTGTGCTCGTCACCAATGGAAAGCGGTTGAAGAGTAACTTCACCCGCTGTGACCATTCTTGATCTTCTTTGCCATGGGAGAGCACGAGCTCCTCCCCGTGTTCATAGAGCCCGGCCAATTTGGGAGGACTGCATTCATCGAAGCCTGCCAGTTCGTCTGGGTCTTGGCAGCAAGTTTGCCGCAGCTGCTCTTCGCACCCATCGCAGAGTGAGTGCACCAAGGCACACTTGGCAGCGCGCTGGGTCCGTGACAGGAAGCCTCTCACTTTGAGGCGTCTCGGTTGAGGGCTCTGGGTGCCCAAAAATGTCTTGCAGAAATGGTCCAAGCGCAGCGCGGCATGCCCTCCAAAGAACTCCACCTCGGTGAGCTCCTCCCAGCCACCTTCGGGAAGCGATCGCCACGCCTTGTCGGCTCCACTGCAGGTCGGCAGCACCACCACGACGCGTTGGCCTCCGAAGGCAGTATTGTGCGGGAAGAGGTCCACGATCGGGCTCAAAGGGACGACCCCTTCCGGAAGCGGCGTCGGTGGCTCCTCCCGCACGATGTCAAAGCCAGGCGAGAGCCGCGCATGCAGGCTCCTGTTAGGGAATCCGGGTTGCGAAGACATGCTTACCCAAGGCCGGCAGATCACAATGCCAACTCCTTGTTTTTGAGCAGGCCAAAAGCATCCTGTGCCTACTGCTTGGCGACACAGGTCCAAAAAACAGCTCATACTATGAACCATCCACGTGACAAACGCCTTATCTACCGCTAGACACTGCTGAAAACAGAACAAGCAAACCCAACACAAAGAGACGGATAAAACGCATTCGACCAGCAACTGCATCACAGTGTAGAGATAGCCCTAGTCTCTATAAACTCTAAATCCCAAACAGGCCGTTAAACTTTGAACCTCAACCTCTGAACCTCAAACCATAAACCCTGAACCCCTAAACCACCTCAGGTAGGATTCGACAGGAGGTGGGAATGGGGCGCCCCCAAAACCCCAACAGCCTCAAGCCTACAACCCGTAAAAACCATAATTTCCGCTATTGGTACCTCATTAGTTTGGAAAGAGTCAAGGTACCATTCATGTGTTATAGCTCTTTAAATGCTGCAAAATTGAAGGAGCGAGAAAGAGCACTAATTGTGATATCTGTTATGCGGCTTTTCTTCACCACCAGTAAACACTAGAATTAGTTTCGTGCACTCACTTATTTCGTTCGTGCATTGTCTCAATATTATAATGTGTTCACGGGCTATAAGATATGAATTATTGTGTGCCCAGGGCGAAACGAACTATATTATTACACGGGCATATTTAATATACTGTTCGCCCGTGATGATGATGATGATACAATGAGTGAATACCGTGAATTACAAGGTGTTTATTATGACGCATGAATTCACGAGTGAACGAGACTAACTACTTGGACCAATCGTGCGTTAACCTGGTGAAGATGTGGCCCGCTGAGAAGAGACCTCTTTAACGCAGGAAAGCTCGTGAATCAAGTGTGAGAATACTAAAAGGCCTGTTAAAATAAAAGTGAGTTAGAAAGTTGTGCATGAATTCACTGAAATTTAACGAGCCTTTTGCACATGAAAGGTTCCAGCCCCAGAGTCAATTAGTAATGAATGGTGTGCCAGGGAAAGGCCCATACAATTTAATATTGTGTTTGTAAGCGTCTCTTGCGCATGAAACTTATATACTTTCTGTATATGTGTGTATATATATACATATACATATACATATACATATACATATACATATACATATACATATACATATTCATATTCATATCCATATACATATACAGATATAATTGGGGCTTTTGTGCGCTCACACATTATAAATATTATCGCACGTTCCTTGCATAATAACTAGTATTAATGTGCGCATTAAAATTTTTAACTTGTAAGTTTATGCACGAAGTAATATTAAATATACGCGCAAAGAAAAATATTGTGAAGGGGACGTGAACGACAAAGCCCTTATCTGTGTTGTTTGAGCTTGTTGTACGTTCATGCGCGATTCGTAATATCCTTCACACGCTTCGTGCATTAATTTACAAGCGTGTGAAGGATATTCTTCCTGTAATGAACAGTTCAAGACCATCCCTGGGCCTGGGCACGGCCATGAGGACGCCGTTCCGGAACTCGGCGAAATCACCCCAGCACAGCTGGATGACCAGCCCCTCCGTGGGACCTGGACCGGCGCGGCAGCTGGAGATTCGGGTATAGGGTTTTGTGTTGGCACATGTTGGCACAGAACCTCGGAGCCCACAGCCAACTCAACAGAAAATCGTCCACGACTCGAGCCTTCCCTGCGTGACCCTCACCGCGGCTCACTGTTCATAGTGCTTCGAGCTCTGATACCTTGAAGCCCTCGGTGCCTGGGCCTCGACACTCGGGGCTTCACAATGGCTCTCTTTTCGGGTAATGTTGTAGGGGTGGAGCTACTGCCGTCGCGGCGGTGGTGTTTCTTACTGACCAGAATCGGCCGTGAAGTGTGGCCTGCTGCTTGCACGACGCGCCAGGTCTCTGCCTGACAGGCCCCGCCGATTGTCAGCCAGTTAGGTGCAGAACGGCGAGTCGCAACGCACCCTTCAACGAACTGTACCTTCCATCAGGCTGCAAGACGATGCTCTAGACTATCACGAGACCTCAGCATAGTAATAATGACAAACATCATGAAAGCACATCGTCAGCGCTGTCGTCAGATATCACTTACAATCACTATGATGCTTCTTCTTCTTCTTCTTCTTATTCTTCTTCTTCTTCTTCTTTTTCTTCTTCTTCTTCCTCGTCGCGTTTGTTCATCGTCATCCATCATCACCATCATCATCACCATCGTCGAGATTATCAACTGCAATAAGGTACAAGTATCACGATCCGACAGTCATGCACGTTTTCAAGCGACTGCCCTGACAGAGTATGCCAAAACCGCACCCTGTGGACTCTGATTCCATTGGGACGGAGCATGTCATGTTCCCTGCTTTCTCGAGGCCTCCTTTCCGGTCCTGCGCAAGGCGCTTCCTGCAGGCCCTGCCAATGGCCTGGAGCGTTCGTCCTTCGCGGCAGACGGCGGACTACAACGCAACTGAAGGCGGTGAAGTCTCTACACTGAACCATAACATAGGTCAACATAGTGGAGCCATGACACTGGAACAGAGTTGCCAACTGCATAGACGCCCCGCACCCACCACGTGGGAGCCCGCCCACCAACAAATCCCCTGGCCTCTTCTCTCTGGCCGCCTTCAGCAGGCTCCGTCTCTGCGGATGTTACGGCTTGGCCTGGCACAAGACAACCTCAGCATGTATGACCGCCATAAAACCTATTCGCAACTTGCGGCTACAAGCCAAACACCGTTGACTTGAACATCCAAGCACCTACACGCACTTGTCAAGTCCGCCTCGCCTCCTTGCAGAGGGCTAAACAAAGACTCAAGAGGACAAGTCTTGACGCGCAATGACTTGGGCCTGGGGCAGGAGAGCGACCACCGGATCTCAAGCAATTCTTCAATGATACATACGGAGAACACCTACCTGCACCGGAAACTCCTGAACATAAAGCTTCCAACATCGATTTGGCCCTTTTCCTTTGGCAGTCAGTGGTTGCTGCTCGCAGGTCACTTTGGTAGTTCCCGACCCTCGATGTGGTCTCCGAAATACACAGCGAGCCAGAGCCCCGACGTAGCCCAACCCTAAAGTTCAGAGTGGACAGCTTAACGGAAGCCCACGGCGGGTGCCTTGCGCCGAAGGCTGCTCAACCGCCACCTCCGATGTCCAATACTTCTAGGTTCATAGTTCGAACCAACCATCCTGTACCCTCTCCTGCTTACCAGCTGGTAGGAGCTACCCACAAAACTCTGAAGCCAAAACGTCCGCAACCAGTCCAAGAATGCGTGGCGAGGAAGTGTGAGCCCCCTCCACAAAATTCCAAGCCTCTGCCAGCTGCGCTTGGAGCACCATCTGTGTCTTCATCTGCTCCTGCCAACAAACACAAGCACTGGCAAACAAGCAGTCAACGCGGCCTTGGCACACAGTATAGCAGCATAGCATTGTCGCGGCATGGCTTTAAGGGAAGCGCCTCCAAGGCTGGGCCCAGGAACGCCGCGGGGTCCGCGAGCAGGGCCGGGACCTGGTCCTCGCGAATGCTCTTCAGAAGCTTCTTCGTGGCGTCCGTGTCGTTCATGAAGGTGAGCAGACGATCTGCGGGCAGCTTCAGGATGATGTCCTTGATAAAGCGTACAGGCGAGTCATCCAATGCTGCGGTGAGATGCTCGGGCAGCTCGTCGAAGAGCTGGCAAAGGGCCGCAATCTGCTCCTCAACATGCGTCTTCATGCCAGCAGGCAGGCCGCTGGCGTCCAAAGCTTCTGCCTCGGACGTCTTCCGACAAACCGTGCCGGTTTGTGGTTACCACACTTGCGATCGGTCCCGGAAGGCCTGCAAGCGCCGGGCGCTCCTTCAGAACCTGGCCCTGAAGCTCAGAACCTCGCAAAGTCATCCCCACCCCGAGCGTATATCCTCAAGACCGAGATCATCCCGAGCAGGGCCCTCCCTTGCCCTTCCATTTCTTGCTGCATTCCGGGCCGCCGCCAAGTCTTTCGTGTCCATCGCCACCACAGTCAGGGGCACGGAAAGCGGCAGATCCCTCAAGTCTGCCGCATCATCCAAGGCGGCCTCATGGAGAAGCAATCTGAGCTGGCAGCCTTTGACCACCACTTGCCTTTTCACGGCAGTCATCACGTCCTTGACAGACTCGCTCTTGGGTCGTTTCAGCGAGGCTGCCGTGGCACCCGATGGCCAGTTGATGGTGAGCATGTACTTGCCTCCTGCGCTGGCGTTCAAAAGGGCAAAAATGCAATTTGCATGCCGGAGGCCCCTGCAAAGGTTCCTGCAAACACAAAGAACCAAGCTGTTTGAGGAAAAGCCAGTCTGATTCCTTCGATTGCCTTCGCCATACATGGCGGCACTTCACTCGAAGGGCGCGCGTCCCTTTCTGTCTCCCTTTCTCGGTCTCTGCTTTACGGTTTAGTTCAGGACAAGTCGACCACGGCGAGGCGGGGCGCGCAAGCGTTCATACTAACCGTCAGAAGGAGCCCTGAGCCCGCGACTTGGGCGATTAACTGATGAACAGCTGCATCTACTTGTGTGGGGAGCGGCCTCGGCCGTGCCTCTCCCGCACCACCTCCCCGTCTGCTGCTGCATCCCGGAAAGCCTCCAAAGCAAATTTGAGGACTGGAGAGAGCGAGCGGAGGCTTAAGCCCTGCAACCCAAGCCTGCTGAAGTAGCCCGCTACCTTGATATTCCTAGGGAGCAGCCCTGCCTGGACCAGGGCCGTCTCGCTGCCCGCGGCTTTGATCCAGCACTGCACGCTACTTCCCTCCAAGTGTCGCTGCATCTCCCGCAGGCTGGTCATGCCTCAAGGCACACAGTTTGGAAGCTCGGCCCCACGAGCTCACCCCTTGTGCGCCTGCGTCTGCGAGAGCGACGCCCACCACCAGCGCGAGGTTTCGAATCTCTAGAAGTTCCTGCACGGTGTCGCCGAGATCGAAGGAGGCCCCGAGCGCCAGCAGCACGACCTGACAACAGAGGCAAGTCTACACGTTGCACAAGGGAGCTTGGGAGGCATTCTGGGCGGTCTCTCGGACACTTGGGCTGACATTCGGGAAGCTGGCCATCCCAGTGCCCCGATCCGCGGATGCCTCGTGGGCGAAGGGCTCAGATGGGACCTGGCCTTTCGGCAAGGCACGCAAGGCCTCTGCCACTGGGAGGGCCCCCTTCCACGTGAAAGCAGAGGCTGGCGCGGGGCCCTTGGCCTTTGCCTGTGCCTTTGCCTTGGCCTTGCCTTTGGCCTTGGCCTTGGCCTTGGCGTTGGCCTTGGCCTTGGGTTCGGGGGATTCGATGTCCGGCAGCTCGGGGATGTTTCTGGCGGCAGTCCGGTCGGCCCCGAGGGCCTGTACAGCAAGCGCAGGATAGCGCACACAAAGTCACCCGAAGCTCGGAAGCTCAGGCTGGAGCATCCGCCGACTCGCCGAGGAAGCGGATGGTGGCCACGGCGCGGTCGGCTTTGGGGCTGCGGCGCAGCTGCTCCCGGAAGGCCGCGTGCGCGCTGCGGAGCTGCTGCCACCTCTCCCCGGCCAGCGCCGCGGAGGTGTCGAAGAGGAGACGGTAGTGCACCTGCAAATTCCGGCAAGCTTGGAGGGCACTAGATTGCGCCAGTGAAGGCTTCGCATGAACCAGTCGACCACCATAGTCCACCCGTACAGTCTCGCGCTTTCAAAATAGCCCCGTTCGTCAAGCCAACAACAGCAATCACTTCGCACCTGCCTCTTCGGACAGAACCCTCTTGCAGTCGTTCGGTGCAAGGTCAAGTGCCGTCCGGCCTCGGCATAGTGACCCCCCCCTCCCAGAGGGACCCCCCCCCCAACCCTTGAAACTTCCAGATGCAAGGAGAACCTTGCGACTCTGACCTTCCAGCTCACCCCACCCGCCCGTAAGATGGACACTCAGAGGCTATGCTGCACACGTGCGTGCCTTGTAAACAACTACTTTAATTACAAAGGAAACACCCGCGGAATAGACGCAACGTACCCGCAGAATAGACGCAAGGCAGCCGTAGCATCACCACACTGGCGCGGAGGGCGCGGAGGGCGCGAAAGGGCGCGGAGGGCGGGGCGTGCGCAGAAGGCGTTCGCGGAGGGCCTTCGCGGAGGGCGTTCGCGAAGGGCGCAGAAGGATACATCGCGTCCGCGTGTCCCCCACTCCCCATGCCCATCAACCGAATCACGCTTCCCGTCCGCCCTCCCCCCTCCTTGCCCCATCCGTCAACCGCACATCCATGCATGGTCCACGCTTCCCCACGCCACGCCCCTCTCCCAGCAAAATGTTCCGACCCCCCTCCGTTGACCCGTGGCCTCCCGTCAAAATTCATTCCATCCGACCCCTCTCCATTGACCATCTCCTCTTCGTGGCCTCTGCTCGAGACCATGCCCAAAAACACTCGTATTTACACAGCGTTTTCGCCTCTGTGTACAACATACTGCGCAAAGATGTGGAACAAGAAAAGCTGTCACAAGGGACCATGTCCAGAAATTGCACCGAAAACCTCAAAGCAACGCATCAAAAAAATAGTTTTAAGCACCCGCTCCGTACCACGCCTGCCAATCCCAGAGAGGTTTGCGGCAAGAATCCAAGAACAAAAAGCACGTGCAGAATAGACGCTCAGCATCCAAGGCACCCCCCCCCCCCCCCGCACGTCACCCCCTCCCGCCCCAAGACCCTATAACCCTGAACCCTAAAGCCTAAGCCCTACGGGGTGCATGGCTTCGGTGCTCGAAGGCTTCGACGGTGTGGGCTACTTCTGCCAGCAAAGACGAAAACTGTGGATATTTCAGGCAGGGGTTATATATATATATATGGGGGATTAATTCCAGGAGCCCCTCCTTACATCCCTTAACCCAAACTGTTGAACAGGCTAGCCCTGGGTGGTATCCTGATAGGGGTAGAGTAGGCGCACGCGGTCACACTTTTGCAGGTGCAGAGGCAACGACTGGCTATGGCTTCAGCTCGTTCACTACAGACTTCAAACTACTTCCGAAACAACAAACCGTCCAACAACGACTCTAGCCATGCTGTACACTATACGAGCTAGAGGATGTCTGAACTTACTCATGGCGCGAAGTGGTTTCTTTCGTAGCCGTCTTCTGGGAACCAAAATGTTACAGAACAAGGAGCTTTGATATGGACAACCTCACCTGACACCTGGGACGATCATACAGCCTGGAGTGCTTTCAACACTCCTCTTTGGCACGGTCGACAGACCAGACCCACCCCCCCCCCCCCCCCCCCCCCCCCCCCCCCCCCCCCCCCCCCCCCCCCCCCCACCCCCGCCTGAGATGTAACCTGGGCGTGCAGACCCTCGCCTAATGTACAGGCAACACAGGGACAAGAGTCTCTTTGCTACAGGCGCACAGCTGTAGTCAGACTGCTAGGCTAGAACCTTGAGCAGCAAGCATGGAAACATGCATTGTGACAAGTGAGACTGACAAGCACCTGGATGTGTAACATCAGTGTTTCAACCAGGCACAAATTTAAAAACACTTGAAACTGCATGGCCGCGGTATCGGCTTTCAGCTTGCCTTATGCTCAAGAGAATTAGAACTGCGGAGTCGTATGAGCTACACTGCGGCTTGGTGAAAAACCAAACTGTACAATACTTCTGCCTGGAGACAGTATATTGGAAGCAGAAACGTCACACGCAACAGAAACTACCAGATCTTCAGCTCAGGTTCAAAAATCGTAAAGAAAAACTTTTGCCCACTACATCAGACATCAGTTACCTCTCCAGAAGGAAAGCTTACTGTATAATCTGTTTGGTGAAGTTTCACTCCACCTGTGATGTCTCTAGCACGACATCTGTTCGATCAGGTAACCCTGGCTGCTTGGTTCCTGTCGATGAGTATTAGCTCAAAAAGAGAAACACTCTCTGCTACTTCAGGCACATAAGGCATTAGAAGTATCTCTCCTAAAGAAGAGTCTCTTCATGGAAAAAGCACAACATAAATGTATGTACTTTAAGGATACCTTCTCAGAAGAGAAGCCTTCCTGTGTGGTGACAATGCCACTCACTTCTTTCCTTTGCCCTTGGTCTTGCCCTCGTCGTAGCTGGTGTAGTGACCCTTCGGAGAACCTTTGTCCTTGCCCTTTCGAGGAGGAGGATGATCAGGCTCAGTTGGTCTTGCAGAACCACGCCCTGATTGAGGCACATCTGGTTCAGCAGGACGTCGAGAACCACCTGTTTGAGGAACTTTCCCCATGCGTTTGTTCTCCCTCTGCCTGTCTTTCCTCCTCTCGGCATCTAGGACACTTTATGGTTTCCGATCGAGTTCCTTCCGCCTTGCCAGAGACATATGCTGTGGAAGGATGTCCACCAACAATGGCGTGTGTACCTCGATCGCCAAGGAGGTAGCCCGACTGGTCAGAGTTCAGAACCCACTCACTCACATTCAGCTTGTGCTCTGCCGGCTCGCCAACGATCTCGCTCCACTCATCATCACTGAGCGAGTGGCCCCATTCAGAGATGGAGCAAACCAGTGGGTCCAATCCAGGGAAAACATTCCAATCAATCGGCGGGCAATCGCGGAACGGTTGCCCCAAAGCATCTTCGTATTGTTTGAGCACATAGAGGCTGTTGGCACTAACGTGCCTCACCTTTGGGCAACAAAACGGATGTGACTGCTTTTTGCACGCCTCGAGGAAGTAGGCGATGATGGATTGGTACATTCCACCTTGGATGTCCATGGACTTCTGGTTGCTGCCACCGTAGCGGTAAAGAGCCACGTTAGCATCTCCGGCCAAGATGTCTATCTGGTAGAACAGGCAATCAGTGACCATGGTGGCTAAAGCCTCGTGCGCCAAACTGATTTTGCCTCGGGCAGCATATGCTGCTGGTGATGTGAAAGACGCACACTCGGACCTTTTCGGAACCAGCTCTGGTCAGCTTCCTGGCGAAGACTGCCTCGTCGAAGTCACCGCGGAAACCACTACTTCCCAAAGGAAGTGTGTAGCCATACTCGATCTCACAGATCATGTAACTGAGAGATAGATGAGCATGGTCCTCGTACTTCAACTTGCTTCCAGCGAGCTGGGTAATGCTGGAACCGATTTCATTGGTTCTGCTTGCCACCATCAGGTCCTTGGCCGGGTTCTGGAACAAAGTCCAACCTCGTCCTTTCAGGTGGCTGAGCTCCTCCTCGTTCAGTGTGGCTGCTTCGCATAGGCAAAAGAGGTGGCTCTTACTTTGAGCCAGCGACTTCACCAGAGGACAAACGGTCTCTTCGTCCATGGACTCGTCAATGACGTCACGGAAGACCGAAGGCACTGTGCGTTTGCCACCACGAATGAAGTTGCCAAGGTTGACGGGGAGGATCGTACAGCTGGACCTCGAGGTATAGATCGGAATCGGATCATCTTCATGAAGGCCAAAGTTGTGAACCCGAGGATCTGGTATCTTGTCTAAAGACAAGTCTCCAACCTCACTCAGGCTAATGCTGCAGCCGATGAAGTAGTGCAGCATCGCATTCATCAGCTCGGTCCTGCTGGCACCACGAGAACTTTGCTTAAGCTCCTGTAGCTTCTCCAGCAAGGACACCTGGACCTCCAGGATCTTTTCGCGAACGTTGGACGACCTCTCAAGAAGATTGGTGTCCAGTGTTGAGCGATAATCTCCAGCTCTGAAGATCACATACCTGGCCTTGTCTCTTAACTCGCCTCTGGGAGCAATTGAGCACAAAGCATCCATCATCTGTCTCTCCACCAGATTGTACTTGGCTCCCACACGGCTGTCTGCTGGAACTCGCAAGGCCATATGTTGCAGCTTGAACAGGTTCATATTGTTGTCTCGGATTCCCACATGGTAGATTCCGGACATGTTGTAGCCCCTCAGCTGCTTCTGGAGCGCCTCCAGTGGTGATGATCGTTCAATTTGGACTCCGTCGAAGATGAACTTTTTGTATGCCATCGTTTCCTCTAGACCAACTTGTCCTTGGTGTCGGCCATCTTGTCGAAGCTCTCATCGTTCACACGTTCGGCTTCAGCTGTAGAGCGGATGAAGGCCTCTATTGTTTCCGGGTCCACAGTTGTCTTGGTCTGTCCCCACATGCCCTGGTTATAGACCTTCTCTTCGGACTCAGAAGCAGAGGCAGACGGCCCCGGCATGGAACCCTCTGCAACGAAAGGCTCCTTGCTTTGTTTCTCCGTCTCCTCTTCGACCTTCATCTCACCAGGACTTGGCTCCTCAGGTAAATCTGCGAGAACAGGACTGTCAGGATCTGCCTCCTGAGCCACGGGCTCCGGATGCTTCTTCTTGACCTGACCAACCATCTCATCTAAAGATGAGTCCACTGGCTCGGTCATGGGAACATCGGCCGGCGCCGCCTCTTCCACAGGACTCGGGACCTCTTCCACGTGAGGACTCGCATGTTTTCCAAAAACTCCTCGATGACGATGTTGTCGTCATAGGGCCTGGAATACATTTCCTCAAGCGCTGCCTCCCGCTTTGCTCGAAGCTCCTCGTAGGAAGCCAGGTCGGCCATTGCCTTCCGGGCGAACTTCGATTTGAACTCCTTCGAGACTGTTCCCTGAAGCTCCTTCGAAAGCGCAGAGAGCAACAGGGGCCCGTTGAAGGGTTCGTAGAGGCTGCAGTCCCATAGCTGATGTCCTTCGGCTGTGGCGACGGCATACTTTCGGCGAAGATCCTTGTTGTTGACGTTCTTCTTCATGTAGCTGAAAAACGCCTCGCCGTAGGTCTCGCTGAGGATGGACACCTCATCCCGGCAAAGTCATCCCAGGTGTAGCCAAGCTCCATCCACACATCCCTTTCCAAAAGGAAAGCCGTGTGCGCATTGAGCTTCTCGGCAAATTTGGCATCCGTCTCCTTTGGCCGCACCTTCCGTTGATCATCTTGCGACGGCGGCGGGAAGCCCACCTGGTTGATCAAAGGACGGAGCTCGTTCCCAACTTGCGACGTGATGGAGTCGAGGAGCGCAGGGATGCCACCAGGGAGACCTTCCATCGGACTGCGGTATCCTTTCTCCTACTCGCCCCATGGGTTAGTCCTCACATAGGTGTTCGGCTTCTGGACGAACTCGGTGAGGTAGTTCCCTGGAGCTTGCCGTACTCAAAAGCTCGGAGGAAGAAATGCACACCATAGCCAGACAACGGATGAAGCATCCATGAGGCGTAGTTGTACTCTTCTCCAAGCAAGACACGGGCCTCTGGAGGCATGGCGTTCCACGGTGTGATCTTGACTTGTCCATCACCATAGTGCGACAAGGCCGGTCGATTGTTTGCGTCCATGCGCTTGAGCACGCCGCGGTTGTACAAATGCCATGGATTCGCCCTTGCTCGCTCGAGGATCTCCTGGATCTCCTCTTCCCGACGGATGTTGCCAACGTTGACCTTCCCGCGCACGGTCGCCGACCTCGTACGGGTAGGAGTAGGATGACGTTTCTTCTGTTCACGGAGCTCATCCTGCTTGATCATCTCGCGAAGCTCGTCCTCGTTCAACGTTGGGACGTCATCATGTGACCTTGGTGAAGGTGCCACCTTTGGCTTCTTCTGTAGCATCGGCTTCGGCTTCGGTCGGTTCGGCGCAGACCCGGAAGAACTGCTGGGCACCTCTCCTGATGGAGAGCCACCCGCAGTTTGGCTTGGTGTTTCCTGTTCTGACGAACAGCTTACACCTGCCTCGGCCTGTCTCTTCTCGTGACGCAGGCCTCCGGGATCTTGCTCGTGCGGCGGCCGATAGTGGAACGAGAGGAACATCGCTGGGACGTCGACATAGGAGAGCACAACGTCCAGGGCCGCGAAGAAGATGTTCCGACCGTATCGGATCACCGTGCCCGGCCCCTGTGGCTCTCGCCCTCCTGCATAGACAAAGTGGATGGCTGCCAGCTCTCACTGGTTGCCTCGATCAGCAGGCCCTGTTCCTTCACCGACCAGGACGTGTTGTTGTCGGTCGCGTGGAAGATGTAGCCAAGATCTCGGCGCCTCTCCAACGAGAGCTTCGTGCCCCAGGCCGAAGGATCCACCTGCCTGGGCAAGTGGGAGTGGCCTTGGACCGCAGACATTCCGATGTGGAAATCGATCTGCCCCAGGTTGTCGAAACTCAGCGCCACCGGCCCGATCCAAATCTGAAAACGACCCTTCGTGTTGGCCACGATGAAGGCGAAGAACCCCGCCGGCGCCCAATCGAACGGTTTGATCCGTTTCTGCTGGAGCCCTTCCAACGGAAGCTCCATGTACTTCCCCAGTTCTGAGGAAGATCCGTGACGGAGAACGCCAGACATGGCCTTGCTGTTCCGAACGAACCAAGAGCCATGGTCCCACGCCAACTGGGAGATGCTCTTGATTTCATCACGGATCTGCTCCAGGAGCTCCTTTGACAAAGCTCCCAAACAGCAGCACAAAAACTGGTACTTCCAGACGACAACGTCGCTGAGGAAGCGTTCATTGCGGCTGTCTTCATACGCACAAATGTGCGACAGGAGCGCCAGCTGTCCCTCCAGGACGTCCAAGACCTCCTTCTCCGCAAAAGCGAAGTACGAGGCTTGGCTCTGCTGTCTTGGGAACAACGGAACATTGTCGGGCTTGATCTTGATGCACCTGGACAGGGCATTGTCCGGCCACACTCGATCCTCCCGAGTAGGGTATGCCACATCACCGTCATCTCCAACAACTCGGAGTACACGGCGCTGGGCCCAGGAAGCGCTGTTGAGGTACAAGTCGTAGTCCGGGAAGTGCGTGGCAATGTCGGATCGGACCGCATCCCATCCTTGGATGCCAGAAGACTTGAGCACCACCAGCCATGTTGCTTCCTGCCGCAGCTATGCTAGATCAGTAGTGTAGAAGTTGTGGGCTTTCTTCTTGCACTAACTCTTGAACCAGCTGATTTGAGCAATGCAGGCACAAATTTAAAAAGAAACCAACAACCCTTGCTGCACATGCACTCTAATTAGACACACTGCTCACACAGGCAAGTGCACATGACTCACAACCGCTCATGCATGAATGTTGGACTCGTCACATAACTGAAAACCGCATACTCTCTCTGGAGCCAGGCGTTCAGGAATGCCTTGTGTAAGGGGGATGTGAATCAATTTCCTTCAACCAACCAGTCTGAACAGAGAGAAGAAGGTTTCTAGGATTAGCACTTCGTTTTGTGAGACAGTCGGAAAGACAATGTTCAGTTCGAACATGCGAAAGATCGGCAATGGCTCCTGAACATGCCTCTTTCCTAAGCATCTGAATCATGTGAATGGTTTCCTGTTGCTCCGGGAATGTGTGGTTGATTGGTTGATGCAGTGGACACAAGATTGTTCGCATCAGTCCTAATGTGGATCTCGGCATCGACAGCGACAGTAGTGCTGAGGGTCGTCCTCTTGACCTTTGTGGACTCAAAGAAAACCAACGAGCCCCGAGTGTCTCTACGACCTTTGACCCGCCCTTTCATCAGCAATGAAAGATTGTCATCGCCCTTTGCGAGGACTTGTCGCTGTTATTCCTAAAGGCTGCATCAGGAATACCCAGGATTCTCGGGGAACCCTTAACAGGCCAAAACTCGCAGCTCCACTTCCTCACTGCGGATCTGCCGACACAATTTGTTCAGCTCCTTGCAGTGAAGAACAGTAGGGGCTGCCGATGCTGAAGCAAGCCTCGAGAACTGGTAACAAACTGAGTTCGCGATTGCAACCAATTGATACTACCAAGCAGTGAGCGATAGGAAGTGTGCAGAGCTTTGTCACATGGATCGGCATCCTTGAGATGCTTCGGTATAACAATTTCTTCAAGCTCTGACACACACAGCTTTTGATCGATAGAAATATACTTCTTCTTCTTTCCTTGTGCATCAAGAACCCACCGAACACGTTGACCCGTGAAGGTGAGATCATTCTTGGGTTCCAACGCATGCCCAAACCCTCCCCACCCTCCCCACTCTCTTGAAGCCTGAAGTTTTGTATGGGCTCCTTAGCTGCCCTAAACCCTCAACGATCTGAGAGAACCTGGCGGCGGCAGGGAAAGGAAGGCTGCGGAGCGCCAGTTAGGGGTCGGCGGCATTGCGGCAGCCATTAAATCGGGCAGCGCGAGGTCCCCAAGGACCGAGCATTGGCGGACCTTTTAACCCGGGTCGTCCCGGGAATAGCCTTGCTAGCCTGCGGCCTTCTGCGAAGCAGAATTGGGCCGGACGCCAGTGCCGCCGACCCCCGCGTGCCGCCGGTGAACGGTTTTTTTTTCTTCGTGGTTTTTTGCGTCGCCACGGAGCCCCCAGAGGGCGCGCATCATGAGCATCAGCGGGTCCAGCCCGGGACCCCCAGGCGCGCATCAGGAGCATCAGGCGGCTCCCGGGGCGGGACTTCGGGGGCGCATCAGGAGCATGACGCCCCCCAAAGGGCGGGCATAAGCGACGTGTCTAAGGTCGGGGCTAGGAAAAAGGGAGTTTAGGGGCCTTATAAAGTGATTAGAAACTTTAAGGGAGTCTAGGAGCCTCAAACGCTTAGAGATTTGAAGGGAGTTTAGGGGCCTGAAGATGCTTAGAAACTTTAAGGGGGTTGAGGAGCCTGAAACGCTTAGAGATTTTAAGGGAGTTTAGGGGCCTCAAAATGCTTAGAAACTGCTCGCCCCGCGCTCCCTTAAAATCGGGCAGCGTGAGGTCCCCAAGGACCTTTTAACCCGGGTCGTCCCGGGAATCGCCTTGCTAGCCTGACGCCAGTCCGCGCGCCGCCGGTGAACGGTTTTTTTTTCGTGGTTTTTTGCGTCGCCACGGAGGCCCCCAGAGGGTCCAGCAGGAGCATCAGGCGGCTCCCGGGGCGGGACCCCGAAGGCGCATCAGGAGCATGACGCCCCCCAAAGGGCGGGCATAAGCGACGTGTCTAAGGTCGGGGCTAGGAAAAAGGGAGCTTCGGGGCCTTGTAAAGTGCTTAGAAACTTTACGGGAGTCTAGGAGCCTCAAAAGCTTAGAGATTTGAAGGGAGTTTAGGGGCCTGAAAATGCTTAGAAACATTAAGGGAGTTCAGGAGCCTCAAACGCCTAGAGATTTTAAGGGAGTTTAGGGGCCTCAAAATGCTTAGAATAGAAACTTCAAGGGAGTTTAGGAGCCTCCAACGCTTAGAGAAACCCCAACCCTGTGACGGATCTGCTCGCCCCGCGCTTCTGCCTGCGCTGCCCGCCCATGGGCGCAGCCCCTTAAAATCGGGCAGCGCGAGGTCCCCAAGGACCTAGCATTGGCGGACCTTTTAACCCGGGTCGTCCCGGGAATAGCCTTGCTAGCCTGCGGCCTTCTGCGAAGCAGAATTGGGCCGGACGCCAGTGCCGCCGACCCCCGCGTGCCGCTGGTGAACGGTTTTTGTTTTCGTGGTTTTTTGCGTCGCCACGGAGGCCCTCAGAGGGCGCGCATCATGAGCATCAGCGGGTCCAGCCCGGGACCCCAGGCGCGCATCAGGAGCATCAGGCGGCTCCCGGGGCGGGACTTCGGGGGCGCATCAGGAGCATGACGCCCCCCAAAGGGCGGGCATAAGCGACGTGTCTAAGCCGGGGCTAGGAAAAAGGGAGTTTAAGGGCCTTATAAAGCGCTTAGAAACTTTAAGGGAGTCTAGGAGCCTCAAACGCTTAGAGATTCGAAGGGAGTTTAGGGGCATGAAAATGCTTAGAAACTTTAAGGGGGCTGAGGCCTCAAACGCTTAGAGATTTTAAGGGAGTTTAGGGGCCTCAAAATGCTTTCAAACTGCTCGCCCTGCGCTTCTGCCTGCGCTGCCCGCCCATGGGCGCAGCCCCTTAAAATCCGGCCCCCGCGCCGCCCGTCATCCAGGGCGGAGCTCGCGTCGCACTAAAGCGCTAGCTTTAAGGGGGCGAGCGCCCGCACCGCCGACCCCGCCCAAAATTGCTTCAAATTCGCGCGGGGCCCTTCGGGAGGCCTTCCAAAACGGCATCCAAGGGGACGCAACACGCGGTGGTGCGAAAAGCACGAAAACCACGTAAAAACCATGGTTTTTTACGAACAACCGAAGCCACCAAACACCCGCAGCACCCCATTAAACCCTCACGGGCGCGCATCATCGACCCTAGCTTTTCACATCGGGCGCGCGCCAGGCTGAAACCACGTTTTTCAAGGTTCGGGGGGGGTACCGGAAGCCCAAAACCAGGCGAGCATCATGAGCATCAGCAGCCCTGGCCCGCGGCCCCAAGGCGATAAAAAACGCTGCAAAACGCTGAAAGCACCATAAATACCGTGGTTTTATGAGGTTTTTCGCGTGCCTCCGACCCGCCACCCTTGTTGCCCCTGACCCGCCCCCAAAGTGCGCATCATCGAAACCCATGTCCGGGGGGTTTCTGCTGATGCTGCTGATGCACGGGGGTCCGGGGCATCATCGAGCCATCGTTTCTCATGGGCTTCGTGGGCCTCCGGGCCCGCGGCCCAGAGACCCAGCTGATGCTCATGATGCTCGTTTTGGGGGGGGGCTTCCAACAGCAGAAAACCTCGTAAATACCGAGTGTTTTGTGGGTAACGCTCTTTTTACGCGCTCGAACGGCTTCGTGCCTACAAAACACCCGAACAGCACGACCCCGAATGCCCTTAAGGGCATTCGGGGTCTTGCTTTTGGGGGTTTCGTGGGCACGCAAGCGTTCAAGCAGTGATTCAAGCACATATAATCGGCGTGTTTAAGGGGGGAGGCCGCTGATGCTCATGATGCTCCCTTTCCTGGGCCCCAAAAGGCTTCCCAAGCCCAAGAACACGTGTTTACAGCGTTTTCTGAAGGTTTTTCGAAGGCAAAGCGCATGCTTAGAATGTTTTTAGGGCTCCCAAACCAACCCCACTGATGCTCCTGATGCGGGCGCGCGCGCACGCGCGCGGGGGAGGGGGAGGGGGGGGAGGGAGGGGGGGCGAAGGCAGGAGAAAGAGAGACAGAGAGAAGGAGACGAAGAATGAAAGAGAAAAAAAGACAAAGGTGAACGAAGAAGAGAAAGGTGAACGAACAAGAGAAAGTGAGAAGATAGAGAAGGAGAGAGATTAAAACAAAAAACAAAGAAGAAAGAGAGAGAGAGAGAGAGAGAGAGAGAGAGAGAGAGAGAGAGAGAGAGAGAGAGAGAGAGAGAGAGAGAGAGAGAGAGAGAGAGAGAGAGAAAGAGAGCGAGAGAGAGGAGAGAGAGAGAGAGAGATTGAGAGGAGAGAGAGAGAGAGAGAGAGAGAGAGAGAGAGAGAGGGAGAGAGAGAGAGAGAGAGAGAGAGAGAGGACAAAGAAAAATGGAAAGAGAGGGAGAAGAGAGAGACAAAGACAAAGGACAAAGACACGGGAAAGAGAAGACAGTGCCAAGGTTCAAGGTTTCGTGCTTTGGGGGGCGGGGGGCTGGCCCGCGCCGCTAGGCCTGAAATCCGGCCCCCGCGCCGCCCGTGGTCCAGGGCGGACTATTATTATCGTGTCCCGGGGATCGACGGTTAGCCCCTGTAAAATACTGGATGATGAAAGGGACGTGATGATAGCATATTAGTACCAAGAAAGGCTTTATCTTGTCCTAAAGGTTGTTCACGCACTCTTTTGCTCCCTTCATTTGTATTATTATGTACGTACGAAGAGAACAAAGTGAATTGTAATACAAATGAGCTCGCGAGTGCGTGATTTCGAACTTGTGAACGAAGTATTAGGGGGTTTTAAAGGGGCCCCATTATTAGTATTATTATTGCCCCTTTATAGAAACCCCCAAGAAAGATAGAATGCTTCTTGGATGATTTAATCCTTGGCAGTCAATGGTCAATAATTCTTGGTTATAGACGGTTATCTGTTAAATCCTGTGCTGCGTTCATACATTCATTACGTTTATTGCACTTACTACGCGCGTTTATAAACTAATTCATGTTTTCACTTCGTATTTATTATTTACTTCTATCGCGTGCCCGCGGAAAAAGCCCAAATTTAATTAATAAAATTCACGCTTCGTTTACTACGTTCACTTCATTGTAATTTTATTATTAAATTGTATGGTCTTTTAGTATTTTATGCCGGGCCGTCACGATATTACTATTTTGCCCGGCGTACTTCGTTCACTGCATTCGTGAATTTCATGCGTTCACTTGTTCACTTATAAATTCACTCATTTGTTCTCGTCGTATTATTAAGTGAACATGTGAAGGAAAGCATGACATGAACGTAACAAGTGAACCAGACCTTGGAATCTTGGTCTCGTTCACATCTTAATTGTATTCATGCGTCGTTCACCTATTCACTCCTTATAATACAATTAATATGCTCGCTTCACGGATCTTCACGGTTAACCCTGGGATTCACGGGACAAGAGTAAAAGCCCTGAGAACCCATCCCAAGATACTAACTCTCTCACTCAGTTCATTCACCCGGTTCTTGAAGGCCAACCATTAATACCATGAATCCGCCAACCTCTGTTTCCAAGCCACTAAGAACCCAATATAATAGTATTACTGCGGTAAGTTCATGCACGCGCATTAATAATATTATAATTGCGGGTTCTTTGTGGTGAGGAAAAGCCCCTGAGAATTACACCGTCATGATGCACCTGTCATCTAATACTAAAAGACCCTGGAATCATGAGCCAGGAAACTAGACCATTGAGCGTGAACAGACCATGAACTTCTGAGTCATGTGAATGGGGGCTCTTCACTCTTCTTTATATCCCGGGCTATTAATAAGAATACAATGTGCCCGGGGCTTACTAAATAATAAGTCTTTTAGTGCGCACCAAACAAGATATTTAATAGGGGTGCGCGTGTTTCGTTCATTTCATATTGAATTTCGTGCGTCACTTTGTTCCTTACAAATTCAATATTAAATTATAAGAAAGCGAAGTAAATTACAAGGAAAGAACGAAAGAAGTGAGTGAAAAGACGCGTGAATTTACCGAGCGCAGAGAAGAAGTGCATTTTGCCCACTTAAAAGTACTAATTTCGTGCTTTCATTACAAATTAGTACTTTGTAAGGGCTTTTAATGCACGTATTCACTTCTCTCTCTTTATTATCACCCCGGGCTCATAATAGAAGTCCTTAAATGCCCGGGAATACTATTAATAATGGGGTTTTCTTCCTAAAGGTAACAGTGAACGAAGTCATCAACTGTGGGTCCATGGAACGGCTGAGTCATGTGCACACGGTAAGACGCAGGAAATCTCTTGGGAATCCTGTAGAACAACCTTAACCTTAATACTGTGGGCCTCATGATAAGACGTGTGACACGTTCACCCTTGAGTCTAGAGCTTCTATCTCCTTAGGAATCCAGTAATAAGACTCATGAAGTGAACAGACTGGTAATGAACGAAGTGAAGCACGCAGTCATGTGAACGGCCCAACAGTTTTAGTTCTCTCCTAAAGGTAACACACGGGTGAAGTGAACACGAAGTGAGTGAACTAGCCCGTGTCACGCTTATATTAATTTCATGCGTTCATTCACTCTGTTCATTCGCTTATCAATTAATATAGTGCGTTCTCTTCACAGTATTAATATTATTAATGGTGTGTGAAGAGAGCGGAGTGAGTGAATAAGCGAATGAATAAAGTACGAAGAGAATATTTTAATTGCGTTTTGTAATGAATGAAAAGGATGCACGAAAACGCCAATTAAAATATGAACGCAGTGAGACAGGATTTTGGAAGAGGAAATCATTTGTAACCGCTAGAAAGAACTGGGCGATGAATCCAAGGGTCTAGAACTGTGGGCAACAGACCTAAATTTTATCCGCCGACCCCAGCGGTAGCAGGGCGGCGTCAGTGAAGACCCCCCACCGCCCTCACCGCCCTCACCCGCTCTCACAGCATGCTGCTCATGACACCTTGAATTGGAGTGTTTTTGCATTGTTTGGCTTCAGTGCATGCCCAAACCCCACCACCCATCGCCCTCACCCATGACGCCTTGAATTGGACCTTTGACCCCCCCCCACCCCATCCATTCAGGTGGTTTAAAGGGTCCAGTGCATGCCCGACCACCCCCTGACCAATCTCTAGTGTTTTAAGCATTCCAGTCCATGCCCGCCCTGACCGCCCTCACCGCTCTCACCGCTCTCATCACTCCCCCTCCCTATGCCCCCCAGTCCACCCCTCCCTGACACCAACCCTTTGCCCTCAACCCCCCACCCTCGACTCTGAAACCCCACCCCCCCCCACCCCCCCCATCCCTTCCCTCCTAGGCCCCTACCCCCTACTCCGCCCTGACAAATCTCTAGTTTGAGGGATTCCAATCCAAGCCCGCCCTAACCGCCTCCCCGCTCTCATCACTCCCCTGCCTTCCGCCCCCAACTCCACCAACCCTCAACCGTCACCTCCCCTGTCCACCCGCCGCGCTCCACCCTGCCTTCCGCCCCAACCCTCTCACCAGAGCTGGTCAAATGAGTCAGGCCCCCCTTTCCGCCAGCCGCCCCCACCCTCTCCCACTCCCACTCCCTAACCCTCCCACCAACCCTCCCCAGCCCTCATCATTACCCCCTCCCACCATCGTGCACCATCCGACCGCCCCCCGCTCTCACCGCTCTCATCGCTTCTTCATCTCTATGCCCCCCAGTCCACCCCTGCCTTCCGCCCCCAACTCCCTAATCCGACACCAACCCTCTACCGTCACCCCCCACACCCCCCACCCCTTTCCACCCCCACCCACCCCCACCCCCCCCGCCCCCGCCCCCCCCGCCTGCCCGCGCTCCACCCTGCCTTCCGCCCCAATGCGACTGTCTTGGGTCTGGGGTCGGCGGCACTGGCGGTAGCCATTAAATCCGGCCCCCGCGCCGCCCGTGGTCCAGGGCGGAGCCCGCGTCGCACTAAAGCGCTAGCTTTAAGGGGCGAGCGCCCGAGCCGCCGACCCCGTTCAAAATTGCTTCAAATTCGCGCGGGGCCCTTCGGGAGGCCTCCAAAACGGCATCCAAGGGGACGCAACACGCGGTGGTGCGAAAAGCACGAAAACCTCGTAAAAACCATGGGTTTTTACGAAAAACCGAGGCCACAAAATACCCGCAGCACCCCATTAAACCCTCACGGGCGCGCATCATCGGCCCTAGCTTTTCACATGGGGCGCGCGCCAGGCCGAAACCACGTTTTTCAAGGTTTGGGGGGGTACCGGAAGCCCAAAACCAGGCGAGCATCATGAGCATCAGCAGCCCTGGCCCGCGGGCCCAAGGCAAGAAAAAACGCTGAAAAACGCTGAAATCACCGTAAATACCGTGTTTTTATGAGGTTTTTCACGCGTGCCTCCGACCCCCACCCCTGTTGCCCTTGACCCGCCCCCAAAGTGCGCATCATCGAAACCCACGTCCGGGGGGGGTCTGCTGATGCTGCTGATGCGCGGGGTCCGGGCGCATCATCGAGCCATCGCTTCTCATGGGCTTCGTGGGGGGGTCCGGGCCGACGGCCCAAAGACCCAGCTGATGCTCATGATGCTCGGTTTGGGGGGGTGTCCCAACAGCAGAAAACCTCGTAAATACCGAGTGTTTTGTGGGTCCACGTAAAAACGCCCCTAAAATCGCTCATTTTACGCGCTCGAACGGCTTCGTGCCTACAAAACACCCGAACAGCAGGACCCCGAGTGCGCTTAAGGGCATTCGGGGTCTTGCTTTTGGGGGTTTGGTGGGCACGCAAGCGTTCCAGGAGGTTTCGGATGGCCTGGGGGAGGCCGCTGATGCTCATGATGCTCTCTCTTCCTCGGTTCCAAAAGGCTTCCCAAGCTCAAAAACACGTGTTTACAGCGTTTTCTGAAGGTTTTTCGAAGGCAAAACTCATGCTTAGAATGTCTTTTGGGCTCCCAAACCAACCCCAATGATGCTCCTGATGCGGGTGCGCGCGCGCGCGCGGGCGGGGGGGGGGGGGGGGGGGGGGGGGGGGGGGGGGGGGGGGGGGGGGGGGGGGGGGGGGGGGGAAGAGCGAGAGGGAGGGAGGGAGAGAGAGAGAGAGAGAGAGAGAGTGAGAGTGAGAGCGAGAGGGAGAGAGCGAGAGCGAGCGAGACAGAGAGAGAGAGAGAGAGGGAAAGAGGGACACAGGGAGAAAGAGGCAAAGGGAGAAAGGGAGAAAGAGTGGGAGCAAGAAAGAAAGCGAGAAACGAGAAAGGGAGCAATACATTGAATTGAAATGGAAACGGACAAAAAGAAAAGGAGACACCAACATAGACAGAAGGAGAGAGATGGTGAGAGAGGAGAGAGGGGGGGGTGACAGACAGGGCAGCGGAATAAAGACGGAGCAGAAAAACAAAAACAAAACGATGCCCACTTCGAGGTTTCCTGTTTTGCGGGGCGGGGGCCGGCCCGTGCCGCTAGGCCTAAAATATTCAAAATGGAATGCGTGCGTCCTTGCGTCCTTACCATTACATTTAATATTAAAATTAAGGGCTTTTGGGAAGGTTAACCAGCTATAATACTAAGGGCTCAATGGTCATGATTCCAAGGTGTTACACGGTTATAGCTGGAGAACCTGATGTTGGGCGCTCACTCGTTCTCTCATTAAATTCATGCGCTTCACTTATAATTTAATTTCGTTTTCTCGTTTACGCGGTTCGCAAGCTCACTATTATTAATTGAATATCCGGGCCTCACGTATTCTCTTAATATGCCCGGAGAAAAGAAATACAGTAGTTTTATTATTAATGCGGGCGAACAAGAGATTTATTATAAGCCCGCACTACGCTCGTTCACACGTTCACGCAATAATAATAATAATAATAATAACAATAATAATAATAATAACAATAATAATAACAATGATAATAATCATAATAATAATAATAATAGCACGCGTCCTTCGTTCCTTGTCTATTATTATTACGCGTGCACACGGGCTAGTTATTTAGTACGCCCGTGTACACACTACAACTATTTTTCACTCGCGGTGCGGTGATGTGTCGCAACGCGTCTCCTTGTGGTGTGGCGAGGGGGGGCGTGGATGCCACAGGTGTGGGTGGTGCGCGTGTTGGCCGTGCCCTGGCGGCCCTGTGTCGCTGTCGTGGTGTCGGGTGGTTCGCAGGTGCGCTGCCCCCCCCCCCCTGTACTGGTGTGTCCCCCTTTGCATAAGTTCGCTGTGGTCTGTCTCTGGGTCTGCTGGATTGGGGGGGGGGGGGGGGGCGTGTTCAGTGGGCCTCTGCACGTGCAGTGGTGGTGGTGGTGGTGGTGGTGGTGGTGGTGGTGGTGGTGGTGGTGGTGGTGGTGGTGGTGGTGGTGGTGGTGGTGGTGGCGGCGGTGGTGGTGGTGGTAGCCTATGATCCTGGCATATGGCAAGAGCATTTACTACTGCCTCCGACCTTTTCGACCTTGTACAGTTGAAAATAGGAGTTTGATCTCAGTTTCAATTGAAGTCGCCCATCCATCTTGCACATGCCAGGTGAGAGATGACAAGTCCGTGGATGGAAGCCTCCGTCTTCGTTCGTTCGTGGTCAAGCATTGGCCGGACTTGATCAGGGACACTTTCAAGTCTGCCTTGTGCTCCGAGAGTCTCGAAGACTTGATTCGTAATGTCGAGGACACCGAGAGGCTCTTGGCAGTCCACTGGAGGCATACTGTGGCGACGGTCCAATACTTCTGGGATTTTTCCACTTTGTATACACACTTTCCTTGGAAGTTTTTCATGGTCCTCGACCCTGCTTCCGAAATCGCAGAACGGTGCCTCAAGGAAATGGAAAGCGAATGGCGCTTTCTGGTTGCGCTGGAGGAGAAGTCTCCCAACGCCTCTTACCACTTTCCACTTAAGGATCTGCCACACTTAAAATGGCATATTTACAGGGAAATCATGACGTTTTGCCAAGAGCGGAAATGGCGATTCACTGGCGATGTCAAGGACTTGTAGTCAGACTGCTAGGCTAGAACCTTGAGCAGCAAGCATGGAAACATGCATTGTGACAAGTGAGACTGACAAGCACCTGGATGTGTAACATCAGTGTTTCACCCCCGCCCTTTTGCCGCCCCCCCAATCCACCCATGCAAAGCTCTACACTTTTTGTTGCGCAAGCTGAATTTCTCGGTGAAGGATGCGGGTGACACGTCGCCAGTACAGGCTTGTTGGGGGTGCTTTTTGACCTCGGGGCACCTTTGCGGGTTGGCATTGCGTGGGCTGGAGGGCACTAGGTTGAGCAGCACGCCGCGCCCAAGGAAAGCTACAGCGGCTTGAACACCAAACCAGATGAGGTCGGAGCCTCCCAACCCCGGCCCCGCCTTTCAAAGACTCCTTTAAGACGTTCGCGCGTTCCAAAATCACCCCTTCTTGGGCGGCGTCCGCGCGTTCCAAAATGACCCCTTCTTGTGTGGCACCCCGTCATGGTATGGTGTTGATTTGGAAAGGAATCATACGCTTTGCAGCAAGCTTGCGTGGCGTAAAGAAGCAGGGAGGGGGATGAGGTTGGGAAAGGACTCATATGCTTTGAAGCAAGCTTGCACACACACAACGCGCGCATTTCGGACACGAGGCAAGCATGCTATGACCGTCGATTTCCCCCCGAGCTCCGGGAAAGGTCTTGGGAAAGCCCTTGAGACATCTTGAGACTTCCAGCTGCAGTCTGGAGCTCTGAACTTCCTGCTCAGACTCGGCGGAAGCTTGGCGGAAGCTGCTGCTCTTCCGCCCCAGAACACAAACCCCCTCCTCTCCGTTCTTTTTGCGGTGTTCTCCTTGGCCCTGAGATTATCAGCTCAAAGTTGCGACTCAGGCATACCCCCAGCTTTGCCATCCGCCCTCGCCAGCATAAGCCAAAACAAAATGGAACAACCACTAAAAACAAGTGCCAGAGGGGCATCTGGAAGCCTTGCCCGACAGCTAGCTCTGTTGCCAGGCTTTTAGGCTGGCATCTTTGGCAATCTTTGGAGGAAACGAGACTGGAGAGCCACAGACAGTCCCAACCACATCCCAAACCAGCGGTCTCTGCGAACCTGACGCGCCCGATCTTCGAGCAAAAATGGCTCGCCCCCAACAAAAACAACACAAAAACGCTGCAGCTTTCCTGCCACCGCTGGGCGCATCCCCGCGCTGCTCGGCCCCGCCTTTTTCCGGGGACCCGGCCCTGGTTGTCCTTGGCCTCCTGTGGCGCCACACATGAGCATGGCACAGCTGCACGTGTTTGCGACAAGCAGCAGAGTCTAGAAAGAATTCTCAAAGCATCCCCGCTCGCTACGAGGAAAGGCGGCCCAAGGTGTAGCTGCCATGTTAGCTCCCCCAGGCCACAGCGCTGTTGCTGGGAACGTGCATGCTGGGGATTTCGAGTCACAAAAAGGTCACTCAGAGCTGGAGGAGAGCCTTGAAAGCCCCGGAGGCAAGAGCTGACGGGAAGGCCCACCCGAGCTGCGCCTTCTCCGCCCCCGCCGCCAGGAGCGCTCCGACGACCTCCGCGTGGCCGTTTTCTGCCGCATGCATCAGTGGCGTATGGCCTCAGCAGGGAGGGGGGCGGGGGGGGTGCTCGAGCTTTTGGGGGGCTCGGCTCCGGCCCTGAGGATTCCGGGGATGCTAATGCTGTAGTTTGAAGTTCGAAACCTGCTGACTCTAGAGCCACCGCTTAAACACAACTGCGTGAGAAAAAAAGAGGCATCGCGGCAGATCGCAGCCCTGAGCCTGGGGATGCAGTTTTCTAGATTGCGGGGCGAAGCACGTTTCTCCTATTGCGGGGCGACGTGCGCTTCTCATGACGGGGGGGCTTCCGAGAAGAAATGGATCGACATTTAGCTCTTTGATTTTATGCTCCGTATCGCGTCAATTTAGGACGTTGCTGGCAGCTCACGGGCAGCCATGTCGGGTTGCCGCCTCAACCAGGAAGCTTCCTATGAGGAACCTGTAGGCGTTTGGTTTTCAGCGCGGGTAGTTTCTGGTTTGTCCGGTCCCCGTAAGGGTGGCTGGGTTGATTCAAGACTCTACATGATTCAAGGTTCCGCTGGAGTGCTAGGTTTTTCGGCCCTTGTGGTTGGCCTTGCGGCTAGCCCTTGATAACCACAGCCACGACCACAAGCACTCGTCTTCATAACCACAACAGAACGACCAAGACTCGACACCGCAACTAGTAACTAGTACTAGTTAGTAGTGCTAGTCTTAGTAGTAGCACTCGTCGTAGTAGCAGTTTAGTCGTAGTCGTGTACTGGTGCGTACTGGTATTCCTGCTAGTGCAACAAGCATAATGAGTACATTTCTACAAGTACCTCTAGTACTACTAGTTCTACTGACACTCTAGCACTACTAGTACTACTAGTACTACTAGTACTACTAGTACTACTAGTACTACTAGTACTACTAGTACTACTAGTACTACTAGTACTACAAGTACGATTAGTGCTGGGTAACCGACGTGAATGGCTAGGGATTTGGGGTCTTAATTATGTAGCGACGACACATAGTAAAACGTTTCGCCAGGACGGAGCGTTGTCCGAGAGGCTATATGGGCAGCGGTACTCTCACCAGGTTAGGGCTTACAGAAGCTGCGTTTTGACCAAAAGTTCTGACCGAAAGTTTTGTTTTTTGCTTTGTGCTACTTGAAAAGGAGCTTGAAAAGGCTTGAAAGCGGGATTTTGGGGGAAGGGGAGCTGGAGGCTTTGGGGCTTGAAGGAAAGCTTGAGGAAAGGCCTGGGAGGGTCTGGGAGGGTTGTTCTGAGAAGAGGCTTGGGGGTGGGGCTTGAGCCTGGGCGAAGAAGGGACTTGCGCAAGGAGCTTGAAGGAAAGCTTGAGGGGGGGCGGGCCTGGGCAGGGGGTTCTGGAAAGGAGCTTGGTGGCGTCCTTTCTATAGTTGCTCACAAATGGCGAACATGAGGTACATGGCTTTTTGTCTTTATGGTCGTTCAAGGAAGTGCGCGTGGCCCTTCTGTTCTACTTTTTCTGGAAGGGTTGGCAAAGCAAAAAGCTTCGAACTTGGTTTATTCCTATACACCTTCTACTTATTGCATGCTTGAGAGTTTAGGGTTTAGGTCTAGGTCGTAATTTAGCGTTGAGGGTTGAGGGTTTAGGGTTTAAGGCCAGGCAAATTCAACACAAAAAAGTACTGGCAGAACCAGACGAATCCCACTGGGGTTCGTCTCAAAACCTCCGGTTTTTGTTCACTTCCAAGTGAAATAGAGACCACGATCTGCTGCATAACCGCCAGATTCCCACGTTTTTGCGACTGCGATTCGTCACAAACTGGTGTTCTTCCGAAACTTTGTTTTTGTGACGAAAAGCAAGGCGGCAGCATCGATTTCCAGACGACTCCTGCCAGGATTGGTCAGGAAAATGTTACGGCCAGGCAAATTCCAAACACACACACACACACACACACACACACACACACACACACACACACACACACACACACACACACACACACACACACACACACACACACACACACACACACACACACACACAACCACACACACACACACACACACACACACACACACACACACACACACACACACACACACACACACACACACACACACACACACACACACACACAAAACAAAGTACTGGCAGAACCACGGCCTTTTATGACGGGATTCGTCACAGAACCTCCGGTTTTTGTTCACTTCCAGCGCAATGGAGACCGACGATTTACAGCAGAACCATTAGAGCCCCAGGATATTTATGACGAACGCGACTGGGAGTCGTCACAGATTGGTGTTCTTCCGAAACTTTGCTTTAGTGACGAAAACAAGGCGGCAGCATCGATTTTCCAGACTACTCCCCACTAGAGACCGGCGATTTCCTGCGACACAGATCCGGAGGTTTTTTTGACGAATCCCACTGCGATTCGCCGCAAATGATGTTATTCTTAAAGCAGGCTTTTGTGACGATCGCAAAGCCGGGCACACATTTTTTCACACACCATCAAAGTTGATAGCGTCATACGTCACAGACTGACAGCTGTTGTCTGCAAACGACATTTTTGTTGCGAACCCCGCGCGGGATCCGTCCAAATTCTCAATTCTCGAGGGTCTGGCCTGGCCGTGTCTAGCGACATAGTGAGTGATCTTACGACAAGGAGTTGTTGTTGCTAACGACGTTTTTGCAAGATTCAGGGGTCGGATTCGTCGCGAAATTCCGTAGGGGTCTGCCTGACGACATGCCTACAAATAAAAAAGCATACGCTGTTGCAAGTCAATGCTAGGGTTTAGGCCTTAGGGTTCAAACTTTCGGGGTTAGGGTAGTGGTACTAGTCGTACTAGTAGTGCTAGTAGTACTAGTAGAACTTGCCATGACCCTCGATTTCCCCCGAGCTCCGGGAAAGGTCCTGGGAAACCCTGGAGACAGCGTCCACACGTTCCAAAAATGACCCTTCTTGTGGCACCCCGTCGTGATGTTGTTTGGGATTTGGAAAGGATAGGCTTTGAAGCAAGCTTGCGCAGCTTACAAAAAGCGGGAGGGTTCACAATGCTCGCACGATGAGGTTGGGAAAAGACTCATATGCTTTGATGCAAGCTTGCACACACAACGCTCACACAACGCTCGCATTTCGGACACGCCATGACCGTCGATTTCCCGCGGTCACTGCCCCAAGCTCCGGGAAAGGTCTTGGGAAACCCCTTGAGACATCTTGAGACTTCCATCTGCAGTCTGGAGCTCTGAACTTCCTGCTCAGACTCGGCGGAAGCTTGGCGGAAGCTGCTGCTCTTCCGCCCCAGAACACAAACCCCCCTCCTCTCCGTTCTTTTTGCGGTGTTCTCCTTGGCCCTGAGATTATCAGCTCAAAGTTGCGACTCAGGCATACCCCCAGCTTTGCCATCCGCCCTCGCCAGCATAAGCCAAAACAAAATGGAACAACCACTAAAAACGAGTGCCATAGGGGCATCTGGAAGCCTTGCCCGACAGCTAGCTCTGTTGCCAGGCTTTTAGGCTGGCAT